CCCCCTCGCCAACCGGCATGTTCACCCGCATGTACACCACCTCTACACCGTTCATCATGCTAAGTCCGCCAATAAAATGCTAATTTTTATGCTGATTCCTTTGTCAAGGCACCTTGTTTCCTCGCACACAGCTTAAAGGTCGCAGTCTGAGCGTGGCTGTGTTTCACTCCAGCGCTGTCCTCGAGACAGCCTGCTCCCTTCACCTGATGAAGGCCGCTTGTGTTGTGGCCGAAACGTCGTGATTTTTGTTGTTTTATTTATTACCTATGTGACCTTACCGAATAGAACCAAAGAGTATGGATCCTTGCAGTCACGAAAGCTTTAAATCTAGAATTGGTGTCGCTAGGTTTGTAGAACAGCGAGTTAACCACTGCACCTCCGCTCCCCCTCATCTTGTAATAGCGCACACACTAACACACCTCAACTGGACATTAAGACGCACCCAATGCAAGTTGTCCAAATCTGCTCACCCAACAACAGCTGCCATTCACCACTACGTGGCAGTATTGTCACCACAACACTTGTGCAAGGCGCGGTGCACTTTGAAGCCACGTGCAGTGCCGAAGGCCCACTGACAGGTCACAGAACAGACCCAGGTGTTGTGGGTTAACTAACTGAGATGACTGCCAGATGTACCACCTGTGCTCCACACTGTGCCAACTCGCTGAGTTTTAGCCACCTGGAGAGCCTCTCATTGTTGTGTCGCGTCTCTGCCCTCCACTGTTGTTTGAGGGCGACTGCCTCCAACTGCCCAGTAGGATCCTTCACGAGCCTCCTCCACACGAGCCTGACCACACACACACTCACCTACTGGAGCACAACAAACACCCATTCATGGGGTTGGTCAAACATCCTTCTCTAAGACCATAGAGCTTGGTAAATTGTTGGTACCGGTTCTGCCCGCCCTTCTAGCGTGCCTGTGGTTTCCTACACCTCCGAATCATTCAATTTTTCACGAGATGAAAACCAAACGCATGACACACAATTCAATATTCAATTAGAAGATGCACCCCCCCAACTTGTGTTTAAAAGCACAGGGGAAGAAAAGGGAGTCTAATAATCCAGAGAATAGGGTGGGCACTTTAACGGAGTGGAAATCTTGAAATTCACCCCAAATGAAACTGTGATTAATTCAACAAGGAAATAAAATTACACGGCAAGGTAAAGTGTCCTGGTGCATCTGACAATCTGCCGAAATCCTCAAAGCCAGTTCCATTACTTGCTGCTGCAGGTCTATGGGTCTCTATGCGAGTGATTAAAGGTCACTTTTGCATGAATTAAATTACAATAATTAATCTGAAAACGAAGATCGTTTAATCATGTGATGACAGATTAATATTCCACGATGGCTGAGATTTTTTTAGTTGCAGCCATGAGGCTAAGGGTTCATAATGGCCATGTCAGTGATCCTGAGCCAGCAGTGCTGAGATCCTGGGTTCAAGCTCTGGCTCTGGGCGTCTCTCTCAGAAGGTTCATAATGGTTGGTTCAGACACACTGAGTCAGCAGTGCTGAGATCCTGGGTTCAAGTTCTGGCTCTGGGCGTCTCTCTCAGAAGGTTCATAATGGCTGGGTCAAAGACACGGAGCAAACACTGCTGATCTCCTGGGTTCGATCTGTGGGTCTGGGTGTCTCTCAGGGGCTTATAAAGGCAGGGTCAGAGGCTACAACGTGAGTAACTGAGCTGTATGTACAGCTCAATAGGCCTTACTCGGGTTATAAACTTCTGACCTCTGACTTATCGTACAGCAAGAGGGACGCCGCAGCAGCAGACAGAGTCTGTGTGTTCGTCAGTGCCGGATTATACTCGGAGCTAAATGTTTTCAGCTATCAATTCCGGTTCAATGATTCTGCACTTGCTCTATTACTATAGTACTATACTGCCTTCAACTATTATGAACGATTGGGTGTTTAAGGTTAGCGATTTATCATATTATCTGGCTGTATAGCAAATGAAAAAAAACAATTACTTTAATATGCAAGTAAAAAAAATGTGTGTTCTTATCATTTTGGAGGTTTTTTTGCAATTAACGTGACCACACAAGAGTAGAAAGGGAGGGCTGAACCCTGGACGGAGCGGACCAACGCGGACGCCCACAATAAACGCCTCGAGCGAGACTCACACAAAAACAACCACCACTCGCCACTAAGTGGCGGTGACGTCACCACGTCGCCTGTGCCAGGCTAGGTGCACGTTGAGACGACGTGAAGTGTCGAACGCCCGCTGGCAGGAGGTCACGGGGCAGACCCAGCAAGTGGCACGGGTCGACTGACTGAGATGACTGGCTGATGTACCACCTGTGCCCCCTACTGTACCAACCTGCTGTGCTTTAGCTACCCGGCGCTCCGCTCGTTGTTGTGAGCGTCGCTCCTCCGCCCTCCGTTGTTGTTGGAGGGCGACTGCCTCCAACTGCCCAGTAGTGTCCTTCACGAGCCTCCTCCACAGAGGCCGATCTTGACACCGCTGGTAACAGTCATCAGCAAGTCCACTCAGCTCCACGTCCTCCTGTACCACATCACTCCATCTCTTCTCTAGCCCGTGCCGCGCCTGTTTAGCCCCCCTTGATCCTGCCGAACAAAAGCTGTATAGGGCACGCGGTGGCTGGGCACGCGGGCTACGTGACCCCACACAATCGCTCCTCCTGCCTCGGTCATTCCTCCTCGCGTCTAGACACTGCCGGTGCGACCATCAGCCGCGTCAGAAGATCTCCAGGGAGGCCGAGGGGTCCGCCTCCCTCGCCAGTTTCAAGTTAAAGCCGCTAGCCACAGCAGCGCGTCAACGTGGCCACTGCCACCCGACCCACGTGCAGCGAGTACAGTGCACTCACTGATGCCTGGCGCTCCTCCTTCAAAGACTCCCCGTCTCTCTCTCTGCTTGAGGCCTCCCGTCGCGAGCAGACGGTGACATCGGCATTTAATTCCTGAACACGTTGCCTTACACACGAGTGGAGTAGACCGTGCGAGTCCACGGGTCTGATCGCGTTTCCATGCAAGTGTAGGGCCGTTCGCGTACGTTGATGAGTCTCTATGCGAGTCTGGGCCTACACGTGAGTCTGTGGGTCTCTATGTGAGTCTGGGCCTACACGTGAGTCTGTGGGTCATCTGCACGAGTCTAGGGGTCTCTATGTGTGTCTGGGCCTACACGTGAGTCTATGGGTCTCTATGTGAGTCTGGGCCTACACGTGAGTCTGTGGGTCATCTGCACGAGTCTAGGGGTCTCTATGTGTGTCTGGGCCTACACGTGAGTCTGTGAGTCTCTATGTGAGTCTGGGCCTACACGTGAGTCTGTGGGTCATCTGCACGAGTCTAGGGGTCTCTGTGTGAATCTGGGCTACACGTGAGTCTGTGAGTCATCTGCACGAGTCTAGGGGGTCTCTATGCGTGGCTGGGCCTACACGTGAGTCTGTGAGTCTCTGTGCGAGTCTGTGAGTCTCTGTGCGAGTTGATGAGTCTCTGTGCGAGTCTGTGAGTCTCTGTGCGAGTCTGTGAGTCTCTGTGCGAGTCTGTGAGTCTCTGTGCGAGTCTGTGAGTCTCTATGCGAGTCTATGGGTCTCTATGCGAGTCTCTGTGCTCGTGTTTAGGAGTCTCGATGCGAGTCAATGAATGTGCGGGTGGGTGAATGAGAGCCGCCATTGGAGCTGCGACCTATGTACAGCACCGCAAGTCCGCTGTGCTCGCACGCTTCGTGTGGTGGGGTAAAGTGTGGGGTACCCTCTCACCTCCTCCCAGGGGGTGTACTTGCCGGCAGTGGAAGAGGAGGCCGAGGAAAATAAAAGCACTTCGAGAGGTGTTGTCCAGAGCTTGCCCTCGTCGTACCCGTCTTCCAGCAGTGGCGAGAACGAGCAATTCCAGAGCTGCACCTGCACCTCGACGCCGGCAATGTTTGTACACATTCCATCGGCCACGCGGTCTGCGAGTCCACCCAGCGCGAGGCCAATGGCCGCTCCAGCCCGCCCCTCACCAACGGCGGCCATGACGCCGGAAGAGAACTTGGTCCGCCTGTGACGTCACTCCGCACCTGCCTGCCGTGCGCTGCACCACACCACGTGTCCTCTGGTATAGACGACCCCCGCCATAGGAATGTGGAATGTCCACCACTGGCTCTGCAGGGTTGTAAACAGGCATCGAGCCCAGGATGCCTTCGATGTCGCTCATTCGAGCAGGAACTTTGTGGGTGCGCTGCACGCGTGCCGGGTGCACGGAGTGGGCACCGCGCGGTGGGGAGTGGTGGCGCTGTGGTTAGCGCTCCGCTACAAACCCGGTTTCCCGCATTCAATTCCCGCTCAAGACCAAACAACTTTGACAGCGTTTGTTCAAACCGGTCCCAATCCTCCCTTAGGTCGACTCAACCTTAAACGAGTACTTGGTGCATTGTGTAAACATCGCCACCTGGTGAGACAAAGGTGGCCCGGCACGGTGCTGCTGGCTACCCACGCCCTCGTGCGCCGTGCCGGTCTTCAGAGGTGCGATGGTACTCGTCAACAGCACTTGCCCAACAATGTCAACGTCTCTGCGGGATCTTTGTTTCGTGTGTGTACTGCACGTACAGTGTGCGGTGCAATGATACAGTCACGAGGTCCAACATAAGTTCACGCAGTACGCGCGTGAGCGCGCACAGCACACGTGAACACGCCTGCGGGTTTTATAAAGTCTGGTTGGCCAGGATCGTCACTTTGTGTGTCTATATAACACAAGCGAATACTGCTCATTTCTGTGCTGCGTGCTGCTGGTATGTGTGGCGTAACACCACAGCGAGCAGCAGGCTCAGTACCAGTGGCGACTTCGATCAAGGTCAGTGGCCGGGTGGCTGTGTGTGCTACCCCACAGGCTACTGCCTGCTGCCGTGAGTGGCAGCGTTAAGACGTCAGCTGCCTGGTTGCGTCTGGCTTTCACCGTTGGCCACTGCACCCCGAACAGATACAGCGTGGATGCACGTTCACATGGCTCCCAGTGTTGGGTACGACGGGCAGGTTAGGCTTCATCACAAACGGCCAACGCAGCATTTTGCCTTTCAAATCGCATAGCTTTATTCCCAGGGTAGAGGCAGTTCAATAAAACAAAAGATAATTCTTTATTCAATCCCCTCCCATCACCGCCGCCTCTGTCCTCCGCCTGGCAGGATGACGCCAGTCAGGCGGCAGGTCGCGAGTGTTGGCGCAAAGTGTGGGTACAGCCCCCCCCCCCCCCCCCACTTCAAAGACGTTTAGAGAGCGTGGAAGAATAGGCCAAGCTCCCTCGAGTGGAGGCCTCTCCGCCAGCAGTGATGTGAACGGACAACTGCAGGGCTGCACCTTTAAAAAAAATCTTAAAATTAATGTGCCGTATGCCGGACATCCCCCCCATAACCGGAAAGCCTCGTCTCCAAATCCGGCTTCGAGAGTGTTTTTGTTGTTGTTGTAAAGCTGTAGATGGGGAAATGGGCAAAGCCCGTTACCCAGCGGCTGTCTCTGGAATCGCTTTAACCCCACCACTGTAATGGATAAACGGGTTTATTCGACAGCCTCAGAATTGTGATGATAACCGATGGCAATGCTACGGGGAAATTACACAACTCAAGAAAGGCGCCTGTGCAAGTGGGGCTCGGGATAAATAACGGGCGAAACAGAAGTCACGCGCAAGAAGTTTGCTCAACAATTGGAGGTGTTTTATCGCAGGTGGAAACGACCGTAAATCTCAGCGTCGCCTCGTGAACGCAGTGCGGTTACTGGAGGTGGGCCGCGTCCGTAACTGCACCTTACAAACTCCTAAATTATAGAACAAAAAAAGATTGTGGCACTTTCGCCGGGTCGGGGGTCTCGGCCGGGCACGAGGAGGAGCGCGTCAGGCGGAGCTGCTGGCGGCGATGATGGAGCCGCTGTGCGCTTCGCTGTCCTGTGCTTGCTGCGTTTGCCGCGGTTGCTGCTGCGGAGGTCCGGGGCAGGTGAGGGCGGAGAGACGAGTGGCCGACAGCCCGGGGCAGAGGCCGGCGCACACGAGGAGCAGCCGCACTATGCGGCGAGCGGCCGCGAGCACCCCTCTCTCCGTCTACACGCACGCACGCACAGACAAAGGTCTCCCGTGTAACCTTCACAGACCCTTGGGCCAAGTGCTGTTAGCGAGCAGCACCTGTGAAAGCCTCCACGGCACACGAAGAGGTGGGTGGCCGGCACCACGCCAGGCCGCCTTTGTCTCCTCAGTGGCAGTGTTTACATATGGCACCCACTACTCAATTGAGGCTGAGTCGACCTAGGGGAGGCCCACTTTCAAATAATCATCACTGGTGTTGGCCGAGAGCGGGAATCAAACTCGGGTCACCGGGTTCGTAGCGCAGCGCGTTAACCGCTACACTACCGCTCCCCACAATACACAGGCACAACACACACACACAACAGACACATGCAGACACAATACAAAGACACACACGAGAGGCACGCAGGTGTAATGCACAGGGAGTGCCTCGTGGGTGTGTGGCGTCACCACCTGCAGATTGATGTGCAGGAGGCCTGAGTGATGCGCTTCCGCCAATTTCTGCACCACGTCCAATCCTACCGCCAGCTCGCTCGCCGGCCTGTCTGTCAACAACACCAACCAGCATTCAACGTCACCGCCACCACACGGCAAAACCACTCACCACCACTCACACGGCATAACATTTCACCGGCACCACAGCATGTCAACAACAACAACCACCACTCAACGTCACTGCCACCACAAGACCAGTCGCCAACACCGCACGGCACAACATTTCACCGACACCACAACCTTTCAACAACAACAACCACTCACAGCCGGCAAAACACGGTAAGAGTTCCTGCGTGGGGCGAGTTCACCCGCACAGCGGGTCCGGTAGATGAGAACTCTCAAGCGGTTGGGCAGCGCCAAGTTTTCTTGCGGTTTTTGGGCGGCGTTTGCGGCGTGTGCCCCGTGCCGTGGGGGCCTGGTTGTAATCACCAGCGAAACGTCACGGGACTCAAATTGTAAATGTTGTGGGTTTACTCTACTTCAACACACCGGTGTGCAGAAGTAGTAACTAATTGGCACGTTTGGTTTACTTGAAATACCTTACTCATTGGCTGTGTCAGGCGGTGGTAGGTTAACGACACATTTTTATTTACGTGCTCCAACCCAAAAAAACCCCCCTTATTATGGATAACATTGGTCGCTAAAGCCTACGTGCTGGGCTGGGCTTGTTCGCCGAGTTGGTTCAAACTCTCTTTACAAGCATCCTTAATTGTTTTCTAAATGCCGACTGACACGATTGAGTGGGGTTTACATTGTGTGGAGGACAATACTGTGACATAAAAATTGGACACTGACAAGAACAACTTGATGTGGTTACATTTTCACTTCAATTTCGATAAAATACAACTCTTTACAGCCATTGCTTTGTGGAGTGAGGTTAAATGTTTAGCACAATTCATATTTCAGGGTGGAGGATTTTAGGTTTAATTGCAGTAGGTGCCATAAAACTGCGAGAATCACTCGGCTTCCAAACATTTGACAGACATTTATTGGAAAGGAAATGCACAGGTCAGGTTGAGGGTTTAATGAATGTACGTATGTTGAACTTCTTTCGAGCCCTATGTAGCCAACCGTGCTAATCAGAGGATCTAATGAAAGTGGGTCGGGTCAGGTCAGGGGTCAAAACATGAGACCCACTCTGCACCATGGGTCACCAACAACCACCGCAACCAGCACCATGACCATCACTCACAGGCAGCACACGGTATCGACTGCCAACCACCACCACCACCACTCACACGGGCCAACACCACTCTCACACAGCTGATGAGCACAGGTGCTCTACCTTTAGTGATGGCGAAGAACACGCGGCCGATGAAGAAAGAGGCTGAGATCAGCTGTAAGGAATCCTCCACCACTCGCAGGCTGCGCACGCGCACACACACAGAGGCTTACAGCTATATACATACACACACCCAGATAAACAGGTGTACACAGATATAGACACAACAGCCGTCATTCGCCACAAAGTGGAGCTGACGTCACCACGGCGCTTATGACAAGCCAAGTGCACTTTGAGGCCAAGTAAAGTGTCGAAGGCTCACTGACAGGAGTTCACGGGACAGACCCAGGTGCCATGGTTTGATTGACGGAGATGACTGTACTCTCTACATCGGTACAAAGATCCCCCCCGTATAGCCTTACAGACTCGGAGTCAGTGCTGTTCACGAGCATTTATGAAGGCCTTTGTCTTCCTGGTGGTGATTACACACCGCACCAGGTATTCATTTGAGGCTGATTGGACCTAGGGGAGGCCCAGGACCGGTTTAGAAATTCCTCACCAATGTTGGGTCGCCAGGTTCGTAGTGCAGTGCACTAACCACTACACTACCTACGTAGGTCGACAAGATGACAACTATCCCGCTTATAGCCATAGCAGACTTTTGGGGCAAGTGCTGTTAGTGAGTAGCACCTATTAAAGCCAGCAAGGAATACGAGGGGGTGGGTGTCCACGCCTGACCTCCATCGTCTCCCCAGTGGCGATGTTTACACACCACACCAGGTACTCACTTAAGGCTGATTTGACTGAGGGAGGCCCAGCACCGGTTCAAATATTCCCCGTGATTATTGGCCGTGAGTGGGAATTGAACCCGGGTCGCCGGGTTCGTAACGCGGCGCGCTAACCACTGTGCCACCGCTCCCCACATATGTAGACACATACACTCAGACAAAGTCACACACGGACAAAGACGCCATCTGGCGTGCAAGCGAGGCGGTGGAAAGGAGGGTGCCGTGCCTGTTGATGCTGGTGAGGTCGATGAGGAGGAGGATGAGGTCAATGCGGGGTCGCCGGTGCTCGTTGTGCCCAGGGAGAGGCAGCTTCGAGGCCATGTGCCTGCGATGACATCACACACAACGAAAAACGCCATGGCGGCCAATCAAAAACCTCTTGTGCAGAGAATGCCGATTCATATATATAGATATATCTATAGGCATACCAAATTTATAGGTAAGTGATGGGTATACCGGATTCTTTCCTACATCTGCACTCTCTAACCCAGTAGTATTCCTATCCCACAGTATTCTTATCCCACAGCAATGAGGGCCCGGGGGTTTGATTCCTGACTCGAGCACGAACCTACATGGAGTGTTTATGTTCCCCACCCTGTTCTGCAGAGAGTAACACAGAGACCCATAGACTCACACAGAGACCCATAGACTCACACAGAGACACATAGACTCACACAGAGACCCATAGACTCACACAGAGACCAATAGACTAACACAGAGACCCATAGACGCAAACAGAGACCCATAGACTCACACTGAGACCCATAGACTCACACTGAGACCCATACACTCACACAGAGACCCATAGACTCACACAGAGACCCAAAGACTAACACAGAGACCCATAGACTCACACTGAGACCCATAGACTCACAGAGACCCATCGACTAACACAGAGAACCCATAGACTCACACAGAGACCCATAGACTCACACTGATACCCGTAGACTCACACAGAGACCCATAGACTCACAGAGACCCAGAGACTAACACAGAGACCCATAGACTAACACAGAGATCCATAGACTCACACTAGGACCCATAGACTCACAGAAACCCGTAGACTCACACAGAAACCAGGACTAATACAGAGACCCATAGACTAACACAGAGACCCATAGACTCACACTGAGACCCATAGACTCACACTGAGAACCATAGACTCACACAGAGACCCATAGACTCACACAGAGACCCAAAGACTAACACAGAGACCCATAGACTAACACAGAGACCCATAGACTCACAGAGACCCATCGACTAACACAGAGACCCATAGACTTACACAGAAACCCGTAGACTCACACAGAGACCCATAGACTCACACTGAGACCCGTAGACTCACACAGAGACCCAGAGACTAACACAGAGACCCATAGACTCACACTGAGACCCATAGACTCACAGAGACCCATCGACTAACACAGAGACTCATAGACTCACAGAGAACCCATAGACTCACACAGAGACCCATAGACTCACACTGAGACCCGTAGACTCACACAGAGACCCAGAGACTAACACAGAGACCCATAGACTAACACAGAGATCCATAGACTCACACAGAGACCCAGGCTATTAAAGAGACCCATAGACTGACACAGGGACCCAAAGACTCACACAGATACCCAGAGACGAACAGAGACTCACACAGAAACCCAGACTAAACAGATACCCAGAGACTAACAAAGACCCTCTCTCAGCTCCAGGCATCTGGTATTCACTTCCTCCTCGGCGCCACTTGTCACTTCTCTGTAATTTGTTTTACAATGCCTCTGAATGTCCGTTGATTTTTTATTAAATTTGTGCCTGTTAGAAATGTAATAACAATTAATGAATACCCTTTACTTTATCTCTAGCTCTAGTTATTCCCAAACACAAACCCATGACCCCAAACGCTCTCCTTATCCACGTTCCCTTGCCTGACTGTGTCGCGCAATTCACTGCGGTGGGTGGGGTTCACTCACACGTTGACGGTGAGTGGGGTTCACTCACACGTTGATGGTGAGTGTGTTCACTCACACGTTGACGGTGGGTGGGGTTCACTCACACGTTGACGGTGGGTGGGGTTCATTCACACGTTGATGGTGAGTGTGTTCACTTACACGTTGATGGTGAGTGGAGTTCACTCACACGTTGACGGTGAGTGAGGTTCACTCACACGTTGACGGTGAGTGAGGTTCACTCACACGTTGACGGTGGGTGGGGTTCACTCACACGTTGACGGTGAGTGGGGTTCACTCACACGTTGATGGTGAGTGGGGTTCACTCACACGTTGACGGTAAGTGGGGTTCACTCACACGTTGACGGTGAGTGGGGTTCATTCACACGTTGATGGTGAGTGTGTTCACTTACACGTTGATGGCGAAGGGGGAGTTGATGCGGCACAGCGCTTCGGCGAGGGCGCTCTGCCCGGGCCCCACGGCACCCACGAGCTGAGGTCAGTTACACGACAGCACGCAGCACACGTGGGTCAGTTACACGTCAGCACGCAGTACGTAGCACACGCGGGTCAGTTACACGACAGGACACAACTCAACACAGAGCAGATAGGTCAGTCAAAGAGTCCACACAGCACTCGCAAAGTACTGTACTGTCAAATTACAATAACCGCCGTTCTTCATTAAGTGGCGCTTGTGCCAGGCTAGGTGCACTTCTGATGCCACGTGAAGTGTCGAAGGCCCACTGGCAGGTCACGGAAGAAACCCAAGTGCCATGGGTTGACTGAGATGACTAGCAGATGCAGCAAATGTGCTGCCCACCGTGTCAAATAGTAACACGCGACAGTACACATACAATCAGTCGACAGTACACACACAGCCAACACTGAGACTCAACACAGGACACACAATAAACAGCACATTTACAACACACAGTAACAACGGCGATGACACACGAAAAAACACAGTACACACACAGTACAAAGATCCCCCGTATAACCTTCACAGGACTGTTGGGACAAGTGCTGGAAAGGCACACGAGGGGGTGGGTGGCCAGCACCACACCCGGCCGCTTTTGTCTCCCGAGTGGGGATGTTTTTTTTACGCACCAAAGCAGGTACTCATTTGAGGCTAAATCGACCTAGGGGAGGCCCAGGACTGGCTCAGAAACTCGTCACTGATGTTGGCCGTGAGAGAAAATCAAACTCGGGTCGCCAGGATTCGTAGTGCAGCGCGCTAACCGCTACACTACTGCTCCCCACACAGTGCACAGTAACCCAACAACCACCATTCACCACTAAGTGGCGGCGACGTCACCACGACGCTTGTGCCAAGCTAGGTGCACGCTGAGGCGACGTGAAGTGTCGAACGCCCGCTAGCAGGAGGTCACGAGGCAGACCCAGCAGGTGCCATGGGTCGACTGACTGAGATGACTGGCAGATGCACAACCGGTTCCCTTACTGTGCCAACATTAACACACACAGTAACACACACAAGAATAACACACACACAGTAACACACAGAGTACACACACAGAGTAACACACACAAGAATAACACACAGAGTACGCAGAGTAAAACAAAGACAAATACAAAGATCCCCCATTTGGCCTTAACAGACTGTGGTGGCAAGTGCTGTTAACACGCATGAACGATGGCCCGCACGGCATGAGGGGATGGGTGGCCAACATTTTGCATCGCCGCCTTTGTCTCCCCAGTCTCGATATTGGCACACTGCACCAGATACTCATTTGAGGCTCAATCGACCGAGGGGAGGCCCTGGACAGGTTCAGATAATCGTCACCGTTGTTGGCCGTGAGCAGGAATCGAACCTGGGTCGTCAGGTTCGTAGCGTAGCGCTCACCGCTACACTACCGCTCTGCTAAAACACACACAAAGTAACAACAACAACCGCCATTCGCCACTAAGTGGCGGTGACGTCACCACGACGCTTGTGCCAGGCTATGTGCACCGTGAGGCCACGTGAAGTGTCGAACGCCCGCTGGCAGGAGGTCACTGGGCAGACCCAGGTGCCACGGGTCGACTGACTGAGATGACTGAGATGACTGGCTGATGCACCACCTGTGCCCCCTACTTTGCCAACCTGCTGTGCTTTAGCCACCCGGCGCTCCGCTCGTTGTTCTGAGCGTCGCTCCTCCGCCCTCCGTTGTTGTTGGAGGGCGACTGACTCCCAACTGCCCAGTAGCATCCTTCACGAGCCTCCTCCACAGAGGCCGATCTTGACACCGCTGGTACCAGTCATCGGCAAGTCCACTCAGCTCCACGTCCTCCTGTACCACATCACTCCATCTCTTCTCTAGCCCGTGCCGCGTCCGCTTAGCCCCCTCAATCCGGCCAAACAAAAGCTGTTTCGGCATGCGGTGGCTGGGCATGCGGGCTACATGACCCAGCCATCGCAGCCTTGCCTGCCGGAGGAGCTCACCGATGGGACCCTGCCCAGATCTTTCAAGGATTTGTGAGCTCCTCACACAATCCAGTCTGGTTAAACCCAGGATGGATCGTAGGCAGGCCAGCCTAAATGTTTCTAACCGGCGAAGATGTTCCATTAAGGGGGTCCACGTTTCGCAAGTGTAGAGAAGGGAGGGAATGACCGTGGCCGAGAAGACCTGAAGCTTAGTGCGGAGCAACAGACCAGGTAGCTTCCATACGTTACGCAACCGATGAAAAGACATTGCCGCTCGACTGATTCGGAGTGAGACCTCTGCTGTTAAACTGGAGCCTGTCATAAGCACACTGCCCAGGTATGGGAAACTCTCCACTCTCTCCACAACTGCCCCATCACCAATTAGGAGTTGTGGGGGTGGAGTGTCCGATGGTACAAAATACCCAGGCAGGTGCTTAGTTTTGGTGGGGCTGATGGTAAGGCCCCATCTCTTAGTGGCACGCTCCAGTCTCAGCAGCAGCGTCTCCAACTCCTCCTCTGAATGAGCAGCTATTACCAAATCATCAGCATACATAACGTGGTTGAGCAATAGGGAGCCATCCCTTGACCGCACCCAGGCATCGATCAGCCTCCCATTATATCTGTACCAAATGGAGATTCCCCCGGTACAGCTATTGAAGGCTTCATAAACTACGTGGTCAAAATAGATGTTAAATAATGTGGGAGCCAGACGACATCCCTGTCGCACCCCAAGGTGTACAGGGAATGGCTCTGACTCCCGGCCACGTAGTTTTACCCGGGCCCGCTCACCATGATGAAGGTCCTTAATGATTGTGAGCAGAGGGTCAGGTACTCCAAAAGCACGAAGAACAACCCAGAGCCCAGGCCTACTGATGGTATCATAGGCCTTGACCAGGTCAATAAAGCAGAGATGTAGGTCTTGCTGGAATTCCCTACACCTCTGCTGTAGCAGACGGACAGAAAATATGGCATCTGTGCAGGACCGCCCTTTCCTGAAACCGCACTGGGGCTCCGCAAGCCTCTCCTCAGCGTGCCTGGGAAGGCGATGTTGAATAATCCTTGCCAGGACCTTTCCCGGCACACTGAGGAGTGAGATGCCCCTGTAGTTGTTACAGTCTGTGCGGTCCCCCTTCTTAAAGAGGGGGACCACCAGGGCATCCTGCTGCGGAACCCGTCCAGTGGTCCAGACTGTTGTTATGATGTCATATAGGGCAGTCTGCAACATAAACGCCATCCTCCCTCAGCATTTCGCTTGGGAGGTCATCTCTGCCCGCTGCCTTTCCTGGTCTCAGACTCCGGATCGCCTTCAGTACTTCCTCAACAGATGGTACTTCAGCCAGCCACTTCTTCCAATATTTGAGTCACTGCAGCCTCAGCAGGGTCATCCTCACTTTGTGCCACGATGTTTTCCTGGCTGAGGGATTTCCCTTCCCCCAGGACCTCACAGAAATGCTCAGCAAATCTGCAAATCTGCAAACCTGTTCCTGGGGGTCGGAGATTGGATCACCGTTTTTTCCCCTAATGATGGTAATAGGTGTGGCGCTGCAGGTTACTTTTCTGATGGAGTTAAATAGAGATTTGTGATCACGGGCCACTGAGGCAGACTCCATCTCCTCAGCAACCCTCGACCACCACCCATCCTTGCAGCGCCTCACGGCTCTCCGAACCTCCGAGCGAAGGCTGCGGTAAGCACACACACAGTATATACACACACACACAGTAACACACACAAAGTAACACACACAGTACACACAGTACACGCACACACAGTACACACACAGTACACACAGTAACACACACAAAGTAACACACAGTACACACACAAAGTAACACACACAGTGTACACACACAGTACACACACAGTAACAGACAGTAACAGACACAGTAACACACACAAAATAACACAGTAACACACACAAAGTAACACACACACAGTAACAAAGTAACACACACACAGCACACACACAGTACACACATAGTAATGCACAAAGTAACAACAACCGCCATTCGCCACTAAGTGGCGGTGACGTCACCACGACGCTTGTGCCAGGCTATGTGCACCCTGAGGCCACGTGAAGTGTCAAAGTAACACACACACAGTACACACACACACACAGTAACACACACAAAGTAACACACACACAGTACACACACATTACACACACACAGTACAAACACAGTAACAGCGCCCCGTTCCTCACCAGCACCGTAGCCGTACGCGGCTCGGGAAGTTTCGCGAAGGGGTGGAGCACGGCCATGGATGCCGCGAGAGTCGCTCGATTCTACCTCCCGTCTCTCCCCGTCTCTCCCTCTCTCTCCTCGTCTCTCCCTCTTCCTCCTCGTCTCTCCCTCTCCCTCCTCGTCTCTCCCTCTCCCTCCTCGTCTCCCTCCTCGTCTCCTCTCCCCGTCTCCTCTCCCTCCCCGTCTCCCTCCGGTCTCCTCTCTCCGTCTCTCCTCTCGTCCGTTGCCGAAAGCGAAATTCCCGCCAAAACGTCCAAACAGTGGTGGGAAACAACTTCCGGCGCGGCCTGAAGACGTCACATCTCCCGGTCGCGATGACGTCACATCTCCCGGTCGTGATGACGTAATCGCCTCCCCCCGACGCTTTAATCACATGCCGTGTCAACCCATCGGGTGTGCCCCGCAACAACAAGACAAACAACACATATTCTAAGTTTTTTCGGTAAAGTCACGTTGAAGGGAAACAACAAAATAATAAAATATATATAAAACACTAAAAATTCTCACGACGTTTCGACCATAACTCAAACGGTCGTCTTCAGTTATGGTCGAAACGTCGTGAGAATTTTTAGTGTTTTATATATATTTTATTATTTTGTTGTTTCCCTTCAACGTGACTTTACCGAAAAAACGAAGAATATGAATTACTGCAGTCACGAAAGCTTTAAATCAAAACAACACATGTTTGTCAACAACACGTGTTTGTCTATTTGTGTTTCTCCCCTTGTGGTGGGACTTTGTAGGATGAACGCAGAGATTTATAAGGTGACCAATAATGTCTGAATTGGTCTGTAATAAGCTCGGACAGTGATAATGGGTGGACAGGTTTGTTATCAAACCCCGCCTCGCACAACGTGACGTCACACCTCCTCCAGGCCTTGCCGCCCATGACGTCACTACCCATCGCTAATTCTCGCGATGTCGCCCGGCGCTGCAAGCCGTGCGTGATGACGTCACCGCGCACGAGGCACGTCACCGCGAGCTGTCGCTTGCGGCCGGGTGGCTAATTTAAAAGAAGCGAATAGCTCAGTCGGGGCTTTACCTGGCAAAAATAAAACATCGCTCACTTTCATTGCTTTCGTGATTGGCTGAACTTTCCTATTCTCTACTTTGCACTCCTATCGTGTTTTTGTATCGTTTGTTGCCACTTTCTGACCCGCCCACACTGAACGTCTGTGAAAAAAAGCGCTTTATAGCTCATCGGATTCCTCCAGTACAGCTGTATAAATAGTCTGTCACCGCACTGCATGGGTGACGTCATAATTCCCCGACTGCCGTGCTCGTGACGTAATTCCGCAATTTACGTTCACGGTGTTGAGAATGAGTTGTGCGCGCTGCGCGAATTAACGCAAACGAACGGACGACGACGTCGCTGGCTCCTGTGGGAGCGCCGCCGCCTGCGACGCGGGGCGCGGGAAATAAAAAAAATACTCGGCCCGAGCAGCACCACGTGACCGGACGAGCAGCACCACGTGACCGGGCGAGCAGCATGGCCGCGCCGGGTGGAGGCGAAAGGCCGCGCTGAGACGGAGCGGGGCTACGTAGAGAGACACAGAGAGAGACACTGAGAAACTGGGACAGAGAGACAGAGAGAGGCAGAGAGACACAGGGACAGAGAGAGACAGAGAAACACTGAGAGACACAGGGACAGAGAGACACTGGGACAGAGAAACACAGAGTGACAGGGATAGAGAGAGAGGCGGAGGGACACGGCAAGGCAGCGGGGGTCGCGTGGAGCAGAGAGAGAAGCCGTGCAGCGACGTGCACGGAGACGTCAGGGGGACAGCGACACGGAGACAGCGACACGGAGACAGCGACACGGAGACGGCAGGGGGACAGCGACACGGAGATAGCCATCACTGTGGGGCCGGCAACAGAGACGGGGTGTGAGAGGGAGAGAGCGGTGGGAGTCTCCGCTCGAGAGACGCAGCAGGAGCAGCAGCGGCGGCGTCCCTGCCGGCGTGGCCTCGAGAGGGCCCCGCCACAGCGGCCGTAGCTCGCGCGGCGCGAGGAGGAGCAGGAGGCGGCGGCGATGATGGGAGACGCGCGGGACGACTCCGTGCGGCTGGTCTCGCCCAACTCGGCTCGCAAGGGCGTGCGCTTCGGGCAGGGGGTCGTGCAGGCGCTCAACAAGTACAGCCGGGGCAATGCGGCGGAGTACACGCTGCTGCTGCGCCAGCTGGCCGACCCCGACATCAAGGTGAGGCGGCGAGGCCGGAGGCGGCTTGGTGTGACCCGGAGGTTCACGGCGGCCGTGTCGAGACGCTGGGCCGGGCTGGTGGTGGACGGGCCCCTCCACGTGTGCCGTGCCGACCTTCGTAGGCGCCTCTCGCTAACAGCACTTTAGTTTACTTTATTAGGTATAAACCTGTGAGCCATGCGGCTCTTGACTCGGGTGCAATCGCAACAAACAAACAAAAACACGAGCAAGAAAACATCTTAAAGTGACTATGTGTGACTGTGCAAACAGAAAATCCATGAACAAAAACATCAAAATATTCCTGAATAAAGCACCGTACACCAACGCTGTGTGCAAAAATCCCAGTGGGATGCAAGTCAAACAACAACAACAACCACAAGACAACTTAGATTAAGGCCATCAGTCTAACTCCGTACTACAACAAAACAAACATGTCCAAACTAAAAAACGTCTTCGAAATCACCAAAAAAAATAAAGCCATAATTGCAATGTAACAGTGATTACAGGGACTGTGACCGAATTTTTAACAATAAACTACATAAATAACATGTAACACCAGAGCCTAGAGCCACAGCTGGCTGCATGAGTCACTCCACAAACAACAGGAGCATCAGTCGGAGTATCACATTTTTCAATGGACCTTTAAGATCAGCACGCTAAATAAAAATACAGATAATACTTTTCAGCGTCATCCGGAACGGAACATTTTATTTTACGCCAATAAATATCAGTGGCAGCTCGGGGTGTACAACTCCTCTTGAGCAGTTTTGAGAGAGTGACTACGCGCAACAGAAAAATCCAGGAAAAAAACAGCAAAGTCTTACAGAAAAAAACACCGCATGTCAACTCGGCTGGGGGGGGGGGCTTCGTCTTCACGAACCACCATCTCCTCCAGCACGCGTTGACAGCCCTGTGACACTGAACACAACACCATCATCATCATCCATGGGGGCCTCGCGTCCCCACTCGGGAAGTGGCGAGGCCACTGGAGCCGTGCAGTGACTCACGGCTGCTGCTGCTGCTCGTACTGCTGCTGCAGCTACTGCTGTTGGTGCTGTTGGTGCTGCTGCAGCTACTGCTGCTGCTCGTACTGCTGCTGCAGCTACTGCTGTTGGTGCTGCAGCTACTGCTGCTGCAGCTACTGCTGTTGGTGCTGCAGCTACTGCTGCTGCAGCTACTGCTGTTGGTGCTGCAGCTACTGCTGCTGCAGCTACTGCTGTTGGTGCTGCAGCTACTGCTGCTGCAGCTACTGCTGTTGGTGCTGCAGCTACTGCTGCTGCTCGTACTGCTGCTGCTCGTACTGCTGCTGCAGCTACTGCTGCTGTTGCTCGTACTGCTGCTGCTGTTAATGCTGTTGGTGCTGCAGCTACTGCTGCTGCTCGTACTGCTGCTGCTCGTACTGCTGCTGCAGCTACTGCTGCTGTTGCTCGTACTGCTGCTGCTGTTAATGCTGTTGGTGCTGCTGGTGCTGTTGCTACTGCAGCTACTGCTGCTGCTCGTACTGCTGCTGCAGCTACTGCTGCTGTTGCTCGTACTGCTGCTGCTGTTAGTGCTGTTGGTGCTGCTGGTGCTGTTGCTACTGCAGCTACTGCTGCTGCTCGTACTGCTGCTGCAGCTACTGCTGCTGCAGCTACTGCTGCTGTTGCTCGTACTGCTGCTGCTGTTAATGCTGTTGGTGCTGCTGGTGCTGTTGCTACTGCAGCTACTGCTGCTGCTCGTACTGCTGCTGCAGCTACTGCTGCTGTTGCTCGTACTGCTGCTGCTGTTAGTGCTGTTGGTGCTGCTGGTGCTGTTGCTACTGCAGCTACTGCTGCTGCTCGTACTGCTGCTGCAGCTACTGCTGCTGTTGCTCGTACTGCTGCTGCTGTTAGTGCTGTTGGTGCTGCTGGTGCTGTTGCTACTGCAGCTACTGCTGCTGCTCGTACTGCTGCTGCAGCTACTGCTGCTGTTGCTCGTACTGCTGCTGCTGTTAGTGCTGTTGGTGCTGCTGGTGCTGTTGCTACTGCAGCTACTGCTGCTGCTCGTACTGCTGCTGCAGCTACTGCTGCTGTTGCTCGTACTGCTGCTGCTGTTAATGCTGTTGGTGCTGCTGGTGCTGTTGCTACTGCAGCTACTGCTGCTGCTCGTACTGCTGCTGCAGCTACTGCTGCTGTTGCTCGTACTGCTGCTGCTGTTAATGCTGTTGGTGCTGCTGGTGCTGTTGCTACTGCAGCTACTGCTGCTGCTCGTACTGCTGCTGCAGCTACTGCTGCTGTTGCTCGTACTGCTGCTGCTGTTAGTGCTGTTGCTGCTGCTGGTGCTGTTGCTACTGCAGCTACTGCTGCTGCTCGTACTGCTGCTGCAGCTACTGCTGCTGTTGCTCGTACTGCTGCTGCTGTTAGTGCTGTTGGTGCTGCTGGTGCTGTTGCTACTGCAGCTACTGCTGCTGCTCGTACTGCTGCTGCAGCTACTGCTGCTGTTGCTCGTACTGCTGCTGCTGTTAGTGCTGTTGCTGCTGCTGGTGCTGTTGCTACTGCAGCTACTGCTGCTGCTCGTACTGCTGCTGCTACTGTTAGTGCTGTTGCTGGTACTGTTGCTACTGCAGCTACTGCTGCTCGTGCTGCTGCTGCAGCTACTGCTGCTGCTCGTACTGCTGCTGCTCGTACTGCTGCTGCTCGTACTGCTGCTACTGCTGCTCGTACTGCTGCTACTGCTGCTCGTACTGCTGCAGCTACTGCTGTTGGTGCTGCTCGTACTGCTGCTGCTGCAGCTACTGTTGCTGCTGCTCGTACTGCTGCTGCAGCTACTGCAGCTACTGCTGCTCGTACTGCTGCTGCTGGAGCTACTGTTGCTGCTGCTCGTACCGCTGCTGCTACTGCTGTTGCTGCTGCTCGTACTGCTGCTGCTACTGCAGCTACTGTTGCTGCTGCTCGTACTACTGCAGCTACTGCTGTTGGTGCTGCAGCTACTGCTGCTACTGCTGCTCTCACTGCTGCTGCTGCAGATACTGTTGCTGCTGCTGCTCATACTGCTGCTGTTACTGCAGCCACTGCTGTTGGTGCTGCTGGTGCTATTGTTACTGCTGCTGCTTCTGTTGCTGCTGTTGCTGCTGTTACTGCTGTTGTTACTACTATTGCTGCTGTTACTGCTATTACCACTGCAGCTGTTCCTGCTTCTGATGATACTTCAGCTGTTACTGCTGTTGCAGGCGGTCCAGCTGCTGCTAATGACGTTGGTGCTGCTGCAGCTGTTGCTGCTGTTGACATTGCAGCAGGTGGAGCTGGTGTGCTGCTGCTTCTGTTACTGCTGCTGCACTTGCTGCTGAACCTACTTTTGTTGTTGCAGGAGGTGCAGTGGTTGCACCCTTAGCTGCTGCTGATGATGATGTTGTTGCCACTGCAGCTCTTACTGCTGATGCTACTACTGCTGCTACTGTTGCTACTGTTGCAGGAGGTGCAGCTGGAGTGTTGGCTCAAAGAGCTACGGGGCTGTGTGGCGATGCTCGGCAAGGACTACGAGCTGCTGGTGTCACTGATACTGGTACGTGACGCCACACGAAACACGCACACAACGCTTAGTGCACAACGCACAGCACACATCACACACAACGCTTAGTCCACAACACACGGCAAAGCACACATCACACACAACGCTTAGTCCATAACGCACCGCACAGCACACATCACTCACAACGCTTAGTCCACAACACACCGCAAAGCACACATCACTCACAACGCTGAGTCCACAACGCACCGCAAAGCACACATCACTCACAACGCTTAGTCCACAACGCACCGCAAAGCACACATCACTCACACCTGGTGGTCACCTGGTGGGCACCTGGTGGGTCTGTCCCGTGATCTCCGGCTAGCGGGCCTGCGACACTTGACGTGGCCTCAAAGTGCACCTAGCCTGGCACAAACGCCGTGGTGACATCACCATCATTCCGTGGCGAACGGGTTGTTGTTGTTGTCACTGTGTGCATTGAGCAGAGGATCAACTGGATGTCACGTGGCCGTGCGGTGGTGGAGGAGTACCTCGCGTTCCTCACTCACCTGGTGTCAGCTCAGACCATCTACCTGCGCTCCTGCCTCATCATGCTGCTCTCCAACTTCACTCGCCGTGCGAGACGCCCCAACACAACCACCCACCCACACAACCACTCACCAACACAACCACCCACACACACAATCACCCACCCACACAACCTTGCACACACACAACCACCCACACACACAACCACCCACACAACCACCCACACACACAACCACCCACACACACAACCACCCACGCAACCACTCACCCATGCAACCACTCACCCACACAACCACCCACACACACAACCACCCACACAACCACTCACCCACACACCCACCTATGTGTGTGGGGCTTGGAGTGCGGTCTGGCGCGGTGAGTGAGCCACTGCTGCCGCTGTTGTGTGTGGCTGCAGGCAAGCGCGTGGTGGACGAGGCGGGGGGGGAGTTCACAGACTCCGACGATGACGACGAGGGTGAGAGACGCACGGACACAACGACAACAGCCGTCGTTCTCCACTGAGTGGCGGTAACACCACCACCACGGTGCTTGTGCCAGGCTAGGTGCACTTTGAGGCCACGTGAAGTGTCAAAAGCTCGCTGGCAGCAGGTCACGGAACAGACCCAGGTGCTACAGGTTGACTGTTGTACCAGGCTAGGTGCAGGCGATCATGGGACAGACCCAGTGCTACTTTGGATTGACTGCAGTCTGGAGACAATCACCACCTGTTGCACCACCTGTATGTAGGAGTGACGGGAGACAGGTGGGGGGATAATTCTGTGGTGTCTTTCACGTCTCCCGTGTTTCTCTCACGTCTCCCGTGTCTCTCTCACGTTTCCCCGTGTCTCTCTCACGTCTCCCGTGTCTCTCTCACGTCTCCCCGCGTCTCTCTCACGTCTCCCGTGTCTCTCTCACGTCTCCCCGTGTCTCTCTCACGTCTCCCTTGTCTCACGTCTCCCGTGTCTCTCTCACGTCTCCCGTGTCTCTCTCACATCTCCCCGTGTTTCTCTCACGTCTCCCCGTGTCTCTCTCACGTCTCCCCATGTCTCTCTCACGTCTCCCGTGTTTCTCTCACGTCTCCCCGTGTTTCTCTCACGTCTCCCCGTGTCTCTCTCACGTCTCTCCGTGTCTCTCTCACGTCTCCCCGTGTCTCTCTCACGTCTCCCGTGTTTCTCTCACGTCTCCCCGTGTCTCTCTCACGTCTCCCCGTGTCTCTCTCACGTCTCCCCGTGTCTCTCTCACGTCTCCCCGTGTCTCTCTCACGTCTCCCCGTGTCTCTCTCACGTCTCCCCGTGTCTCTCTCACGTCTCCCCGTGTCTCTCTCACGTCTCCCGTGTTTCTCTCACGTCTCCCCGTGTCTCTCTCACGTCTCCCCGTGTCTCTCACGTCTCCCGTGTCTCTCTCACGTCTCCCCGTGTCTCTCTCACGTCTCCCCGTGTCTCTCACGTCTCCCCGTGTCTCTCACGTCTCCCGTGTCTCTCTCACGTCTCCCCGTGTCTCTCTCACGTCTCCCCGCGTCTCTCTCACGTCTCCCCGCGTATCTCTCACGTCTCCCGTGTCTCTCTCACGTCTCCCCGCGTCTCTCTCACGTCTCCCCGCGTCTCTCTCACGTCTCCCCGCGTCTCTCTCACGTCTCCCCGCGTCTCTCTCACGTCTCCCCGCGTCTCTCTCACGTCTCCCCGTGTCTCTCTCACGTCTCCCCGTGTCTCTCTCACGTCTCCCCGTGTCTCTCTCACGTCTCCCCGTGTCTCTCTCACGTCTCCCGTGTTTCTCTCACGTCTCCCCGTGTCTCTCTCACGTCTCCCCGTGTCTCTCTCACGTCTCCCCGTGTCTCTCTCACGTCTCCCCGTGTCTCTCTCACGTCTCCCGTGTCTCTCTCACGTCTCCCGTGTCTCTCTCACGTCTCCCTTGTCTCACGTCTCCCCGTGTCTCTCTCACGTCTCCCGTGTTTCTCTCATGTCTCCCTTGTCTCACGTCTCCCCGTGTCTATCTCATGTCTCCCGTGTCTCTCTCACGTCTCCCTGTGTCTCTCTCACGTCTCCCCGTGTCTCTCTCACGTCTCCCCGTGTCTCTCTCACGTCTCCCCGTGTCTCTCTCACGTCTCCCCGTGTCTCTCTCACGTCTCCCGTGTTTCTCTCACGTCTCCCCGTGTCTCTCTCACGTCTCCCCGTGTCTCTCTCACGTCTCCCCGTGTCTCTCTCACGTCTCCCGTGTCTCTCTCACGTCTCCCGTGTCTCTCTCACGTCTCCCTTGTCTCACGTCTCCCCGTGTCTCTCTCACGTCTCCCGTGTTTCTCTCACGTCTCCCCGTGTCTCTCTCACGTCTCCCCGTGTCTCTCTCACGTCTCCCCGTGTCTCTCTCACGTCTCCCGTGTCTCTCTCACGTCTCCCGTGTCTCTCTCACGTCTCCCGTGTCTCTCTCACGTCTCCCTTGTCTCACGTCTCCCCGTGTCTCTCTCACGTCTCCCGTGTTTCTCTCATGTCTCCCTTGTCTCACGTCTCCCCGTGTCTCTCTCATGTCTCCCCGTGTCTCTCTCACGTCTCCCCGTGTCTCTCTCACGTCTCCCCGTGTCTCTCTCACGTCTCCCTTGTCTCACGTCTCCCCGTGTCTCTCTCACGTCTCCCCGTGTCTCTCTCACGTCTCCCCGTGTCTCTCTCACGTCTCCCCGTGTCTCTCACGTCTCCCCGTGTCTCTCACGTCTCCCCGTGTCTCTCTCACGTCTCCCCGTGTCTCTCTCACGTCTCCCTTGTCTCACGTCTCCCCGTGTCTCTCTCACGTCTCCCCGTGTCTCTCACGTCTCCCCGTGTCTCTCTCACGTCTCCCCGTGTCTCTCTCACGTCTCCCCGTGTCTCTCTCACGTCTCCCCGTGTCTCTCACGTCTCCCCGTGTCTCTCTCACGTCTCCCTTGTCTCACGTCTCCCCGTGTCTCTCTCACGTCTCCCCGTGTCTCTCTCACGTCTCCCCGTGTCTCTCTCACGTCTCCCCGTGTCTCTCTTACGTCTCCCCGTGTCTCTCTCACGTCTCCCCGTGTCTCTCTCACGTCTCCCCGTGTCTCTCTCACGTCTCCCCGTGTCTCTCTCACGTCTCCCCGTGTCTCTCACGTCTCCCCGTGTCTCTCTCACGTCTCCCTTGTCTCACGTCTCCCCGTGTCTCTCTCATGTCTCCCCGTGTCTCTCTCACGTCTCCCCGTGTCTCTCTCACGTCTCCCTTGTCTCACGTCTCCCCGTGTCTCTCTCACGTCTCCCCGTGTCTCTCTCACGTCTCCCGTGTTTCTCTTACGTTTCCCCCTGTCTCTCTCACGTCTCCCCGTGTCTCTCACGTCTCCCCGTGTCTCTCTCACGTCTCCCCGTGTCTCTCTCACATCTCCCCGTGTCTCTCTCACGTCTCCCCGTGTCTCTCTCACGTCTCCCCGTGTCTCTCTCACGTCTCCCCGTGTCTCTCTCACGTCTCCCCGTGTCTCTCTCACGTCTCCCCGTGTCTCTCACGTCTCCCGTGTCTCTCTCACGTCTCCCTTGTCTCACGTCTCCCCGTGTCTCTCTCACGTCTCCCCGTGTCTCTCACGTCTCCCCGTGTCTCTCTCACGTCTCCCCGTGTCTCTCTCACGTCTCCCCGTGTCTCTCTCACGTCTCCCCGTGTCTCTCTTACGTCTCCCCGTGTCTCTCTCACGTCTCCCCGTGTCTCTCTCACGTCTCCCCGTGTCTCTCTCACGTCTCCCCGTGTCTCTCTCACGTCTCCCCGTGTATCTCACGTCTCCCGTGTCTCTCTCACGTCTCCCCGTGTCTCTCTCACGTCTCCCCGTGTCTCTCTCACGTCTCACTGTCTCGCGTCTCCCGTGTTTCTCTCACGTCTCCCTGTGTCTCTCTCACATCTCCCGTGTCTCCACATGTCTCCCCAGATGTGGACAGGTGTTTCCAAATCTGTCACAAGGCCCTGGAGCTCATCGCTGGCATCGTGCCCTCGTACGTCTCCACACACGCCCCCCCCCCCCCCACAAGAATGGTTTAACCCACCCCACTCACTCACTCACCTCCTCCATAAAGATATGGTTTAGTCCGTGGGCCCAGTCTCTTCTCGCACCAGCGTTATCCAGCAGCGTGTATTTTAGACAAGAGAGCCAGGCCGTTTTTTACTTTATTATTATTACCGTGCGTGTTTACCCAGTAAAGGCTCCCGTTCTATTCCAATTTATATTTACAGAGCGACTTCACTCAAGGCGCTTGACGTAGCTTATAAAAACAATAACAGAATAATAGAAGGATGTAGCTGGCAGGGGCGTGCTAGAAGGATTGAGGAATAAGTAACAGTGATGGAGGGTAGTTGGGGATCACGCAAGGGGTAGGGGAGGGATGGGAAGGGGTAGAGGGCAAGGGGAGGGGAGAGGAAGTGGATGGGCTGTAGAGAAGGGGTGAGGCTTTAAGAGAGGAACGGACGGAGGTGAAGGAGGGGGACTGCTTCACGTTCAAGGGAAATTTGTATGTACGCTGACCTTTCGCACCGTACTTAGCCAACACTGGATATAAATAATATAATTATATGATCCCAATTGACTAAATTTGTGAGCACGTTTGCAAAGAAAAATTTGTCAAATGTGGACCGTGACGCCGACACGCAGTGGCCTGCTCTTGCAATATTCTGGGCCTCTTCACCAGACTCGGGCCAAACGATGAATCCCTTCCGCCAGTGTCAAGCCAGTGATGCTCTCTGGCGTCAGTCCGGCTGTTAAGACGTTCAAACGCCAACAACGCACCGCCGATTACAAGGCATCGACTCGATGCGTGCCCACGCGTGCGCGTGGTAAACGGCACGCACAGACACACGCATGCTTCGGTGTACCCTACACAGTGTTCTTGAGACCGATTGGCCTGCACCAGGGGCGGCCTCTTTTATGGCATTGTGGGTTATCACAATGCCATTATGTCAGACTTTATTGGCAAGTACACTCTCGTCCATAATGAGGCCCCGAATTCAAAATAAAAAATATAGTGGAGGAATCCGATGAGCTATAAAGCTCTTTTTTTACAGATGTCCAGTAGGGGCAGGCAAGAACGTTACAACAACAAACAGTAGAACAACTTTATATTAGTGCAAAGTACATTAAAGGTAAACAAATCACCTAAACACAAATTAAACTAAACCATCCCCATCCTACCAGGCAAAGCTTTTAACTTATTTTTTTAAAAGCAACCTGGCCACAAAGTGGCCCATCATTTAGACATTTATATCATCAAAATAATCAAAATAACCTCAATGCATGTTTCTAAATGTGGAGGGGTCAGGATCGAACCCGGGACCTCCTGCATACCAGGCGAGGAAGATAGCATCACACCACCGTGGCTCCCCTTAAATTAAAAAAAAACCTATATAAAAGTTTAAATTGCATTAATTCCCAAGCATCGAAAAGGCAGTATAACAACAGCAAAAACTGTCCCAGACCACACTAAGATAACACACAGTTTCTCAATACGAATTGTACATTCAAATTGAACTTGAGTTCATTCACGGCTCACCGCAGCTCACTCGCGGCCTCCAGCGCGTGACCCCTGCGTGACCCCGCGTGACCCTGCGTGACCCCGCGTGACCCCGCGTGACCCCGCCCTCTGCGCGCGCAGGACGCCCATGTTCCTGATGCCGCTGCTGGCTGAGAGGTTCCCGTTTATGACCAAATCTCCACGGACGCAGGTACTGGATGCGTGGCCCCCGCTTGCTCGGTAGCTTGAAGCTTCGCGGTTCGAATCCGGGAGGCTTCCCCGGTTAACACCGCGGCAGCGTTATATTCGACCGTAAAATGCTGCTGCTGCTGCTACGCCGCCGTCGGCTCCGCTCGCAAGCGGACGTGAAAAGATCAAAGAGAGTCGGCGCCGTGGTCTGAATCTGAAAGGTTTTGCCTGCAAACGACTCGACGCACGTGGCAGCATCGCCGCATCCCGCGCGCGACGCTACGGCGGTGAAGCGCGGCGCCGTGAGAACGGAACAAACTGAGCGGCCGCCACTCGGCGAAGGTTTACAGTGAAGTCCGCCAAGGCACCAGCTTTTTCTTGTTATTCTGCTTGTGAATGGGTGGCGGGGTTTGCCGTTGTTTGTGCGTGGTGTGTGTCGAGGCTCGCGTGGGGTGTCGTGGTGTGTGATGTGCGTGGTTGTGTGACGCGCATGGTGTGTGTTGGTTTGACACGTGTGGTGTGACGCATGTTGTGTGTGTGTGTGAAGCACGTGGTATGTGACACGGGTGTGGGTGTGAGGCGTGTCGTGGGGATGTGTGTGTGTGACGCGCGTGGTTAACACGCGTGTGTGTGTATGACATGCGTGGTATGTTGCTAGGAGTGCTACGTACACAACCTACTGCGCGTCACCACCTACCTGCCCGTGCTGCGACGCGACGTGCTCTCTCTACTGCTGGACAGGCTGCTCAAGCTCGACGTGAGAATCCCCGACCCCTCACCGCTCCTCACCGCACCCTTAATTTCAATGAGAGGCTGAGCTTCATTTCACTCGGGGCGGCGACCCAGAAAATAATAATAATTCTCCCCCCCCCCAGGTGAACGCCCCTCGCCAGGACATTGAGGACGCGGAGCAGCAGGCGGCCGGCCAGTTGGGCGCCGCACAGGAGGAGATGTTCCACATGGTGAGACAGCCACCATGCTCACTCGCCCAGCTACCAACACAGCCACCCACCAGCACGGCCACCTACCAACACAGTAACCCACACACCAACCAACACACCCACCCACACACACAGCCACCCACACACCCGTCCACTCATCCACCAGCTCACTCGCCTACCCACCAACCAACACAGCCACACAACCACCCACCCACACAGCCACCCACCCACCAGCTCACTCACTCACCCACTCACCAACAACAACAACCGCCATTCGCCACTAAGTGGTGGTGACGTCACCACGACACTTGCCAGGCCACCAACACACCCACCCACACCAAGCAACACACCCACCCATCCACCCACCAGCTCACTCACCCACCACCAAACACAGCTACCCTCCCACCCACCCACTCACCTATCTACCCCCCTTCCCACCCTCCCACATGTCCACCCATCTACCCACCCTCCCATATTTGCGTGCATTTGTGCGTCAGCACTTGCCCCATGAGTCTGTTAAGCGCTATACGGAGGATCTTTGTCTTTGTGTGCATGTACGTGTGCATGCATGCATGTCGGGAGCGGGTGCTCACTAACAGCACTTGCCCCATGAGTCTGAGCGCTATACGGAGGATCTTTGTCTTTGTGTGCATGTACGTGTGCATGCATGCATGTCGGAAAGCAGGTGCTCACTAACAGCACTTGCCCCACGAGTCTGTTAAGGCTGCACGGGGGGTCTTTGTCTTTGTGGCTTGGTTGCGGTGCCGTGCGCTGGCGTCGCCGTTGATCCTCTGCCGTGTGGCGCCAGGATGAGGACGCGGGTGTGGAGGCGGGGGGCGGGCGAGGAGGTGGGGACAAGGGCGAGGACGAAGAGGAGGGGGAGATGGCTCACACGGCCGCCAACACGCTCGATGTCCTCATGGCGCTGCTCTTCCGATACATCCGTGACACGTGCCACCCCAACGGTGGGCACAGGCGGCACGAGCGTGCGTTGTGGAGCGTGGACGGGCGGGTGGGCGGTTGTGTGAGTGGAGTGGGTAGGGTGACCAGGGTAAGTAGGAACATTGAGCACAGTGGGTAAAGGAGTAGGGTGTGTGGGTGGGTGTGTGGGTGGGTGTGTGGGTGGGTGGGTCGGTGGGTGGGTGGGTCGGTGAGGTGGGTGCTTGGGTGAGTTGGGTGAGTGAGTGTTTGCATGTGCGGGTCGTTGGGTGAGTGAGTGTTTGCATGTGCGGGTGGTTGGGTGAGTGAGTGGTTGCGTGTGTGGGTGACTGGGTGAGTGAGTGGTTGCGTGTTGGGGTGGCTGGGTGAGTGAGTGGTTGCGTGTTGGGGTGGCTGGGTGAGTGAGTGGTTGCGTGTGTGGGTGGTTGGGTGTGCGGGTGGTTGGGTGAGTGAGTTGTTGCGTGTGTGGGTGACTGGGTGAGTGAGTGGTTGCGTGTTGGGGTGGCTGGGTGAGTGAGTGGTTGCGTGTTGGGGTGGCTGGGTGAGTGAGTGGTTGCGTGTGTGGGTGGTTGGGTGAGTGAGTGGTTGGGTGAGTGAGTGGTTGCGTGTGTGTGTGGGTGGTTGGGTGAGTGAGTGGTTGCGTGTGTGGGTGGCTGGGTGAGTGAGTGGTTGCGTGTGTGGGTGGCTGGGTGAGTGAGTGGTTGCGTGTGTGGATGGTTGGGTGAGTGAGTGGTTGCGTGTGTGGGTGGCTGGGTGAGTGAGTGGTTGCGTGTGTGGGTGGTTGGGTGAGTGAGTGAGTGGTTGCGTGCGCGGGTGGTTGGGTGAGTGAGTGGTTGCGTGTGTGGGTGACTGGGTGAGTGAGTGGTTGCGTGTGTGGGTGGTTGGGTGAGTGAGTGGTTGGGTGAGTGAGTGGTTGCGTGTGTGTGTGGGTGGTTGGGTGAGTGAGTGGTTGCGTGTGTGGGTGGCTGGGTGAGTGAGTGGTTGCGTGTGTGGGTGGCTGGGTGAGTGAGTGGTTGCGTGTGTGGGTGGCTGGGTGAGTGAGTGGTTGCGTGTGTGGATGGTTGGGTGAGTGAGTGGTTGCGTGTGTGGGTGACTGGGTGAGTGAGTGGTTGCGTGTGTGGGTGGGTGGGTGGTTGGGTGAGTGAGTGGGTTGTGTTCTGTGGTGCTCAGGGAAGCTGGACGTGGAGATGACGAAGGCCGTGTATCGGGACCTGCTGGATGCGTTTGACCGCCTGCTGCTGCCCACGCACGCCTCCTGCCACGTGCAGTTCTGCCTCTTCTACCTGTGCAGCTTCCACCTCGTACGACGGCACCACGCACGCACACACAGACAAAGGTCCCCCGTGTGGCCCGCTCACGCTCTTGGGGAAAGTGCCGTTAGCGAGTAGCGCCTACGAATGCTGACGCGGCGCACGAGGGGACGGGTGGCCAATGCCACCCCCGGCCGCTTTTGTCTCCCCACACACCGCACCGGGTGCTCGTTTTGCGGCTGAGTCGACCTAGGGGAGGCCCGCGTCCGGTTCAGATAATCGTCACTGATGTTGGTGGCCGTGAACGGGAATCGAACTCGGGTCGCTGGGTTCGTAGCGCAGTACATTAACCGCTGCACCACCTCTCCACGCACACGCACACAGACTAAGGTCCCCTGTGTAGCCCGCAATGCACCACTCTTGGCCACCTTTGTTTCCCATGACGTTTATACATCGAACCGGGTACTAACTTAAGGCTGAGTCTACCTAGGAGAGGCCCTACCAGTTCAGGGAGCTGTCACTGATATTAGAAACTCACCCCACTGGGATGTACTGGGCCCAGATTAGCATGGTTGGCTATGTACGGTGCGGAAGAAGGCCGATATGCATGGATACATTCATCGCAATGGCCAGAATTTGAACTCTGGCGGTGGAGTTTGCAGTGCAGTACGCTAACCACTGTCCCCCTCCCTCGTCCCCCTACCAACACTCGCCCCAACAGTCTGTACAGGCCGCACGGGGGATCTTTGTCATTGCATTAACCACAAAATACTTGGCGCCGTCTGTTTCACGGTGCGCCTTGCAGATCCCGCGGCGTCGTTTGTAAGAGTTGGGTCATTTGTCAAATAAAAAAAATGACTCACGGACTCCTGAAGAGCAATCGTCAACCCCCTACTGGCCGGCCGATGCCCGTTGTAGGCCAAGTGCCGAATCCCCTCGTGCCACATAGGCACAACAGCCACTGGGGGTGCCCTTTCATGCATGTTGAGATGTGCGACGGGATGTGCTGTGGGATGCCGCAGCATATAGGAGGGCACGCTATCAAAAACAACGTATTAAGTGTAAAGCTGTATCTGCGTGTGTGTGTATGTATAGCTGTGTGTATGCATGCACAGCTAAGTTTGTACTGTATCTCTGTGTGTGTGTAGGGTCTGGCAGAGGCGTTCCTTGAGCACCTGTGGAAGAAGCTGCAAAACCCCAGCGTGGCAGCCATCACAAGGCAGGCAGCCGTGGGCTACATGGGCAGCCTGCTAGCCCGGGCCCAGTACATCCCAGTGGGGTGAGTCTCAGCCTGCTAGCCCAGGCCCAGTACATCCCAGTAGGGTGACTCTCAGCCTACAAGCCCAGACCCAGTACATCCCAGTGGGGTGAGTCTCAGCCTGCTAGCCCAGGCCCAGTACATCCCAGTAGGGTGAGTCTCAGCCTGCTAGCCCAGGCCCAGTACATCCCAGTGGGGTGAGTCTCAGCCTGCTAGCCCAGACCCAGTACATCCCAGTGGGGTGAGTCTCAGCCTACAAGCCCAGGCCCAGTACATCCCAGTGGGGTGAGTCTCAGCCTACAAGCCCAGGCCCAGTACATCCCAGTGGGGTGAGTCTCAGCCTGCTAGCCCAGGCCCAGTACATCCCAGTAGGGTGACTCTCAGCCTACAAGCCCAGACCCAGTACATCCCAGTGGGGTGAGTCTCAGCCTGCTAGCCCAGGCCCAGTACATCCCAGTAGGGTGAGTCTCAGCCTGCTAGCCCAGGCCCAGTACATCCCAGTGGGGTGAGTCTCAGCCTGCTAGCCCAGGCCCAGTACATCCCAGTGGGGTGAGTCTCAGCCTGCTAGCCCAGACCCAGTACATCCCAGTGGGGTGAGTCTCAGCCTACAAGCCCAGGCCCAGTACATCCCAGTGGGGTGAGTCTCAGCCTACAAGCCCAGGCCCAGTACATCCCAGTGGGGTGAGTCTCAGCCTGCTAGCCCAGGCCCAGTACATCCCAGTGGGGTGAGTCTCATCCTGCTAGCCCAGGCCCAGTACATCCCAGTGGGGTGAGTCTCAGCCTGCTAGCCCAGGCCCAGTACATCCCAGTGAGGTGAGTCTCATCCTGCTGGCCCAGGCCTAGTACATCCCAGTGGGGTGAGTCTCATCCTGCTAGCCCAGGCCCAGTATATCCCAGTGGGGTGAGTCTCAGCCTGCTAGCCCAGGCCTAGTACATCCCAGTGGGGTGAGTCTCAGCCTGCTAGCCCAGGCCCAGTACATCCCAGTGGGGTGAGTCTCAGCCTGCTAGCCCAGGCCCAGTACATCCCAGTGGAGTGAGTCTCAGCCTGCTAGCCCAGGCCCAGTACATCCCAGTGGGGTGAGTCTCAGCCTGCTAGCCCAGGCCTAGTACATCCCAGTGGGGTGAGTCTCAGCCTGCTAGCCCAGGCCCAGTACATCCCAGTGGGGTGAGTCTCAGCCTGCTAGCCCAGGCCCAGTACATCCCAGTGGGGTGAGTCTCAGCCTGCTAGCCCAGACCCAGTACATCCCAGTGGGGTGAGTCTCAGCCTTCTCACCCTCCCACTTGCATGAACATATTAAAATAAACAGCCAATGTGGGAGAACTCTCCTGAGCAAAAGCCCTACAAACTCGGCTTGGCTCTCCAGGGTAAATCAGTAAATAGGTAAAGCTGCCTTGTGTTGTTTTGCGTACCCTATCATATCGTGGTGTATCGCTGTCGCTGCTGCTTGGTTTTGATGATGCATCTAGCCGCTGTGCCCGTGTCTGTGCTGTATCTGTGCTGCGTGCATGCGCGCTGCGTCAGCACGGTGCGCGCGTGCCTGGGGCTGCTGGTGCCCTGGCTGCACCGCTACATCGACGGGCAGGAGGACTGCGCGCGGCCCCGCTGCCTCGTGGCAGCGCACGGCCCCTTCTACGCCGCCTGCCAGGCCGTCTTCTACTCATTCTCGTTCCGCCACCGCCAACTGCTGGAGCCCGACATGCGCAAAGGTGAAGGCCGCACGCACGTGGGCAGGCGCGGGCAGTGTGTGTGTGCGCGCCCACGTGACCTTATCTTATCTTCATACAGAGCGCCTTAACTCACAAGGGCGCTCTATAACGTACTTTAAATGGTGGTCACAAAAATCGAGTGATTTAGATGGCAAGGCGCGTGCAAGGGCTGGGGAATGAGCGACCGTAACGGAGGTCACCTAGGGGATCTTTGTCTGTGTGGCCAGGCCTGGCGTACCTGCAGAGCCTGAACCTGGAGCGGATCGTGCTGTGCCGTCTCAACCCCCTGCGCGTGTGTCGCCCACCCGTCGTCAACATCTTCGCGGCCCTGACGAGGTGAGCGTCGTCGCGCGGCGGTGTCCGCTGTTGCCCCGCGGCTCCGATCCTCCGCACGCCGATCCATCTCCCTATTGGTGACCCCGGTGTGGCTACGGTGGCCGGGGTTCATAACGGCCGTGTCAGCCGCTCAAGCCTGCTGCGTGTGTCTGTCTCCGTGTCTCGCCAGGCGGTATCAGATCGCATTCTGCTACTCCATCATGGAGAAGAACAGTCGGCAGAGACTGCCCGTGGCTGGGGACACGCTAGTGGGGGCCGCCCCCGCCTCGCACGACCAGCTAGACGCCGTCTTCCCTTTTGACCCCTACCTGCTGCGCCGGTGAGCACCGCCTCCTCCTCCTCCTCCTCCACCAGCCCCTGGAGGGCGCCGCCCGCCACTACGCGGTGTCCCGTCCTTCTCTCGGTGCCCCGTCCTGTGTCTCACCGGCGCACGCCGTTTGTCTCTGTGGACCCACCCCCCCCCCCCCGTGCGTCCCCTGTGTCTCAGCTCCAGGAGAGTGATTGTGCCGCTGTTTCGCGAGTGGAGAAATGAGGATCTGGGCGGAGATCTCACATTGAAGGGTCGGCCCAGCAAGGTGCTTCCTTTCATCATAACCGTCATCATCGCTACCATTGTCACATCCGTGTTGTGGTGGTAGTAGTGGCATACATTTGATTGACCGGCTGCTAATCTTGACTGGGTAATGCTGTCACTGTGGGTGTGTTGTTGTGTACGGCGATGGTGCAGATGGTGGTGGGCCAGCAGCAGGAGGATGAGGATGACTTCCTGAAGAGCGACGCGGCGATGAGGAGTGGCAGCAGCAGCCTGACCCCCGGCTCGTACGACCCCTTCAACAACGGCGGAACGAGTTTCGACTCTCCTCCATACAAGACGGACATGGGCCCGACTCCCCACGCGTTGTAGTCGCAACCACCGCCACAGCCGCCAACTTTCACCACCAACAGCCACCAAAAATAGTCAAATGCCACCAACGCCACCACTCAATCCTGCGACAGCACATTCGCCGCTCGTTGCAGAAGTTCGCAGTTAGAATTTGACAGGCCGCCCTGGTTAACTCAAGTCAGAGTGGTATATACATTTTACCTACCCCGGAGGGATGGGCCGAGTAAACCCCCAACCAGGATTTGAACTCACGACCTACTGACTGCGAGCCGCCCGCTCTAGCGCCAAGCCGCCCGCCCGGTGGGTTGGTATTGTACTATCAAAACACTCGGCAGTCTACTTCAAAATGCAAGTCAAAGATCCTGCGACATCGTTCAAAGAGAAGCCAGCCGTCGTGTGCCAGCGTCATGGCCCAACTTGCCAAGTTTGGAAAAAAAAGAATGACCTGCAAACGATTCGGTTGGCAAATTCGAGAGTGATCGTTGTCCTACGGCACAGATGAAGAAGGCTGTCACCCCATGATCGGATGTGTATGTGTATAAATAAACTCCTTAAAAAAAGTTTTTAAAACAACGGTTTTATTAACAACTTCGTTTAACTCGCGGTCGAGAATTACGTCAATGGCGCCCGAGACACGCGGCGCCTGCTTTTTGTGGGAGCCGATTCCACAGTTTAGGGACCGTGGCGTTTTTGACCTACACACAAATATAATTAATAAGCCTCCCATACAAAAATTGCGATTGCTTGAAAGGAGGCAATTAATTGATGAATTTATGTCTATTTTGATGCAGGCATTAATTGTTGCCGGATCTGAGTACGTGTGCAAAATTTGGAATTGGACAACAGGAAGTAGACTAACTTTTGATTACAAGATTTGACTACGACAAACGAGTGAAGTTAAATAAAACCGTTGAAAAAGTTAACTTCGTGATAAAACGCGAGATGGAGGAGTGTAGCACACGCGGTTGGCTGCAGGCCAAGCTCACTCGGTTTGCCAAATTCCATACAATGGATAAGTGTGCAGCTTTAGAATTAACCAGTTCATGGCACACAGTGCGAGTGCATGCATGACCAAGGTGGTTCACAGTCTGGTACAATAATACCCACAGTGTGCGGAGACCCTCATCCAGTAGTGGATTCGCAAAGGCCTGTTGCAGTGATTCAGTCCAACGAAATATTTTCTCACGGTACTTTATTTAAAAATTATTTTGCAGTCCTCAAAATGAAACCAAGGAATCCCCCCCCCAGCCCAACACATTAGGTCACAACAATAACCAAATTGAAATGTAAAATTTTATTTTTAAAACAAATCAACATTCACAAACCTTCACCCCACCCCAGAACATAGATCTATGATCAGATTAGCCAGGATTTAAACTACCCTTGAACTTAAGATTCCCTTTAAACGGCACCGCAGCTTCAACAGCACCCGCCGCCCCACGAGTGTGGTGATGGTGCCATAGCCATGCAAATAAGGAGGGGAGAACCAACAACGGGGCACGATAAGAGGGCATCACGGAACTACTGCTGAAATCCCTTGATCTGGCCTCCAGGCAGACAAGCCATACTCCTTGTATATTCCCAACTCAGGAGTGTTTGTCGTATGCCAATTAAGCCAGATTCTCAGGGCTGGATATATCATGCAGCAGGCCTGGTAAGGTTGGTGGCTCGCAGAGATATTAAGAGTTACCGTTAATGCAAGCGAAGCATTTGTGGGGTGTTTGTTTGCAGGCTTTGATTTCCGCTCACAATATAACGACACAGACAATCTCACTAGAGGATTGGACCTCGTGTCCAGCCATCACCACTGCCCTGCCTCACCCACAGTGCCGGCGCTGCTTGTCCGACCCACAGGCGGCACAGAGAGCGGTGGTGACGAGTGGTAACTGGCATCAGGTGAAGCGCGATTCCTTGCCAAGCCAACCGCCCAAAAGGGTCCCTTGTTCCCCCCTCATCCTCACCTCGTACTGCTAACCTATGGAACCAGTCATCAACCCACTCATGCCTTACCCACCAGGTTCGTCTGCAGTGTATTTTAGGTCTATTGCACACGGCTCACCGTACCTTGGCTCCGTGTCGCCGCTGGCGTGAACGAGTTTCAAGGCCGAGCAACTGGAAAGTTCAACGGCGCGCGTCGGAGAACCAGCGGACGTCAAGACGCGCACTCAATGCACATGCAGCAAGCTCTGCAAGGGTGATATGTACACGGCTTCCTCACAAACCTACTTGCTGTACTACCCTCGACAGACATTGACACGGATAGCCGGCAGGTGTGACATGCAACCATCGGAGCCCTCGATTCCGATTCATCAATCGCGCCTCATTAAAGACCACAGAAAAAAAGGCTCGACTCTAAAGAGAGATTGTGTGATCTCCGTGTGAAATATAAGGACCTGAAATGCCTTGGTCACCTGGGAAATGCTGGCTGGATATCTAGAAATACCTGATATGTAAATGTGTTAAAATGATATGCTAAAATAATATTTAAACAATTGCCCATAAGGCCATGACAGTGGAAATTTTGGGGAAACGGTATCCAATAACGCGCATTCCTTTGGGCAACTTATGAGCAACTCTGTCCAGCAATGCCAGAGGGTGAGAGAGTGACGATGTTGCTCTATACAGCGCACAAGCCTGAGTCGTAGTCACGTGACCTCTGCGATCAAATTTAGGGTCACCAATTGAGAACGCGCATTGCGATCAATGCCCCCGTGTGTCAGACTAGCGCCCGCCCGCACGCCGCTGCTGCCGCGTTCAACTTTCAGTGAACCAGTTGTCATCGGGGGGTTTTTCCTAGGCGCTTACACTGCACGCACAACATCCCTTTACGTAACGGGCGCAATGCAAGCGCCGGTGTCACCGGCGTCACCCCCCGCGTCACCCCCCCCCCCCCCACCCCCGCCCCACTCACACGTGCGGGATGGGCTTGGCGAAAACGGCGATGCTCTCGATGCCGCACTCGTCGCTCCCGCGCCGAATACGGAAGAATCCCCGCTCCCCCCATTCCTCCCCCCAGCTGTTCTTCACCACCCAGTAGCGCTCGCCCGTGCCCGGCTCCACGCCGTAGCCCACCACCGCCACCGCGTGGTTCGTTTCCTCGAACGGGTTGAAGGAGTCGCGCAGCCCCGTGTGGTGGTACACGCCGCCGCGGTAGTGCAGCAGGTCGTCGTACACCTGCAGGCCGACCGCTAGCGGCCCGTGCGCCACCAGCTCCAGCCGCATGAGCTCATCGTTGCAGGCGCCGTAGTAGCCGCCCACGTAGCCGTAGTGCGCCGCGTAGAAGCGGTAGCAGTCGGCGCGCAGGGGCCGGCACTCGGCGTCGCCGCGCCCCGTGTACGGGTAGCAGCTCTCCTCCACCAGCCCAAAGTCCTGCGCGTACTTGCCGCCGATCAGGTACGGGAAGCCGCCGTCGCAGCCTGGACGGGGAGGGGAGGGCAGGGCAGGGAGGGAGGGAGACTCGAGTCTGTGGTGATCTCCAGTTGCCCAATCTTGGACAACTGGCTCAAAAACGTAACTAAACTAAAGCTAAACCGCTGGTGTGGCCGGATAGAGGGGGCTAAACGGGTATGGCACGGGCCAGAGAAGAGAGGGGCTGATGTGGTACAGGAGGATGTGGAGGCGAGTAGACTTGCCAATGGCTGGTACCAGCGGTGTCAAGATCGGCCTCTGTGGAGGAGGTTCGTGAAGGACGCTGCTGGGCAGTGCAGGGGAGCGATGCTCACAACAACGAGCAGAGCGCCGGGCGGATAAAACGCAGCGAGTTGGCACAGTGAGCTGGTGCATAGCTGGTGCATAGCTGGTGCATAGCTGGTGCATAGCTGGTGCATAGCTGGTGCATAGCTGGTGCATAGCTGGTGCATAGCTGGTGCATAGCTGGTGCATAGCTGGTGCATAGCTGGTGCATCTGCCAGTCATCTCAGTCAACCCATGGCACCTGGGTGTCCCGTGACCTTCCACCAACGGGCGTTCGATAACTCCGTGGCCTCAAAGCGGCACAATCACTACGGTGACGCAACCGCCATTTAGCGGTAAACGGCGTCTGTTGTTGTTGTGAGCTGCATTGTGATGGGTGCACACGGTGCGGGCGAGGCAGTTCGGGGGAGCGAGTGCTCAACGTGGCGTGTGGGTGGAGACGCTCGCTCGCTCCTCCTCTCCTTGACCGAATGTTCGTCATTGCAGGCGTCTGTCTGACCTTGGGAGAACTTGCTGCACGACACAATCTGTTGGGTGCTCAGGATGGGCGTCTGCGACGCGTTGGTCAGGATGCGGATGCGAGCCTCCAGCATGGCCATGGAGGAGAAGGAGTAGCAGCTGCCGCACGATCCTACACACAACACGCGATACAGCAGTGTCCCATAGTGTCCATAGACAATGATAGACAGACTGGTCTCTGGTGAGGTCCATAAACAATGATAGACAGACTGGTCTCTGGTGAGGTCCATAAACAATGATAGACAGACTGGTCTCTGGTGAGGTCCATAGACAATGATAGACAGACTAGTCTCTGATGAGGTCCATAAACAATGATAGACAGACTGGTCTCTGATGAGGTCCATAAACAATGATAGACAGACTGGTCTCTGATGGGTCCATAAACAATGATAGACAGACTGGTCTCTGATGAGGTCCATAAACAATGACAGACAGACTGGTCTCTGATGGGTCCATAAACAATGACAGACAGACTGGTCTCTGGTGAGGTCCATAAACAATGATAGACAGACTGGTCTCTGATGAGGTCCATAAACAATGATAGACAGACTGGTATCTGGTGAGGTCCATAAACAATGACAGACAGACTGGTATCTGGTGAGGTCCATAAACAATGACAGACAGACTGGTCTCTGGTGAGGTCCATAAACAATGATAGACAGACTGGTCTCTGATGAGGTTCATAAACAATGACAGACAGACTGGTCTCTGATGGGTCCATAAACAATGATAGACAGACTGGTTCTCGATTTAAAGCTTTCGTGACTGCAAGGATCCATACTCTTTGGTTCTATTCGGTAAAGTCACGTAGGTAAAAAAATAAAACAACAAAAATCACGACGTTTCGGCCACATCACAAGAGGCCTTCATCAGGTGAAGGGCCCAGACTGTCGAGAAGACAGCGCTGGAGTGAACACAGCCAAGCTCAGACCGCGACCTTTAAGCTGTGTGAGAGGAAACAGAGAGCCTTGACAAAGGAATTAGCATAAAAAATAGCATTTAATTGGCGGACTTAGCATGGTCTCTGATGGGGTCCATAAACAATGATAGACAGACTGGTCTCTGGTGAGGTCCATAAACAATGATAGACAGACTGGTCTCTGGTGAGGTCCATAAACAATGATAGACAGACTGGTCTCTGGTGAGGTCCATAAACAATGATAGACAGACTGGTCTCTGGTGAGGTCCATAAACAATGACAGACAGACTGGTCTCTGATGGGTCCATAAACAATGACAGACTGGTCTCTGATGAGGTCCATAAACAATGACAGACAGACTGGTCTCTGATGAGGTCCATAAACAATGACAGACCGGTCTCAGTGGGACCGCTCACCCTGGTTACGGATGGGAGAGACGTAGTTGATCCCGTTAACGTTCCTCCAGTCCCAGGATGTGGGCAGGGAGGATGCGAGTCGTCGCGTCTCCTCCGTCACCACAGCCGGCTTTGGCCGCCTACAAACGAAGACGCACACGTACACACCATTTCAGATAATCCTTGTCTTCCCTCTGCTAATATTTTCACACCTAGAGGAGGCTCAAGACCAGTCAGATTAATCATCACTGGTGGTGGCCACGAGTGGGAATCGAACTTGGGTCAAATTTAATTCAGGTTCCGTACTTAATTTGGATGAATTCCAGCTGAGGATTATTCGGTTTGCACGTTATACAAACAGCAGAGCTGGTGGGAAAGTGATGCCTTCTACCGTATGGACCAGGGAGCGTCACTCGATGAAGGGGATCTCGGAGGTGGCTCTGTGATGTCCGTTTCCGCGGGTTGTTCTCAACCACAGGGAGATGCAACTGCCCGCTCGAGAGATCCATTTGGACGCTCAAAACTCATGATGAGACACCTAGAGCCCAAATTGGGATTAGCTAATTTTTAAAAATAATTTTACCAGGTAAGGCCCACTGAGCTATTTCACTCTGTTACAGAAGTGACCTGGCCACAAATGACTAAGTGGTTTACCATGGGAAAATGTATAGCAGCCAAATACTCCAAACGCACGTTCCTAAATGTGGACGGGAAAAACCCGGGAGAAAACCCCACGCGACCACTTGGAAAGATACACGCCAGGTTTGTGATCTAACCCACGACCTCCTGTATACCAGGGCGAGGTAGCTAACATCTCACAGCCACCGTGGCGCCGAACTGGGGAGTAACCAACGACGGAGCCCGACAACCTGCGACCCCGTCAGCCTCTCCCTCCCCCGTCTCACCCGTGGATGCGCGACGCGCGCCCACCGGCCCGACGCGTCAGCTCCCCCAGGCTCAGGCCGTCGTAGAGGGGGTAGCGCACGGCACGCCACGAGCGCTGCGCGTCGTTGACCCTCTGCACGAAGGCCGCGTTGTGCTCGTACAGCCTGCGCACGGCACGCGACACGCGACACGCGGTACATGACACACAGCGTGCGATATACGGCGCGCGTTCGGGGAAACCGCAGTGCGCTCGGAACACGGAGCCACGCGCTCACCATGAGCGGTGCAGCACATCTGCACGTATGTCCATACATATGTCGAACTTGTTTTGCAAGTAGACACCCTGGTGTCTACAAACTAAGTTGCCTCTGTGGTAGTAGTTACATTGGAGAAACCAAAACGCCATGTCTCGGACCGCATTCGTGAACACAAAGCAGACCTTAAACACGGTAGGACCAACAACTCGGCCGTGGCAGATCATTGTTATAATTCAGTAGGCTCACATGACATTGACTTCTCCAAGACAGAGGTTCTTTGTAAGCCATCTGGCTACCGTGAGAGATTCGTTCATGAGGCTATCCACATATACAAACACAGAGACAATTTCAACCGAGAAGATGGATTCTGGCTTCGCAATCATTGGAAGGATTAGATAAACCATTTCAGGTCTTAATTGATTGTTCATGCTTACAGTGGCTTTCAGACAGCATACATTAATTTTTCGTCTCCCCCCTCCTCTTTTCAGAACATAGATGGACTCGTCCTTCTAAATAAACTGTCAAATCGCTGCGCGTGGCGCTGACGTTTTTTTATAAATAAACCGTTTAAAAATAAATAAATAAACGCGAACCACCACTTCTTTCAAATGTTTATTGCCGTTGGTTTTTCACACCTGATGACGACCGTTTGTGTTATGGTCGAAACGTCGTGAGAATTTTTTAAATATATATTTTTATTATTTTATTGTTTCCCTTCAACGTGACTTTACCGAAAGAGCTAAGACTATTTGTTTTGCACCGTACGCAGCCGACCGGCAGCCGACCGTGCTAATCGGAGGTGACGGAGGAGACACGACCGCCCCCCCCCCCACCCCTGTGCATGACGCCAAGCGGCAGCTCGCTTGGCGAATGGTGACAGAGGATGGTACAGAACTAATAGGTAACAGAAGAAGAAGTGTACAATACGTCTCGGTCCCACCTTTGTCCCTCGACACACAAACAATAAAGATTTATATTTACACATCAGCCCCACAACTTTCTGGGACGTATTTCTTTTCCAGAAGTATCGGTTTCGTACAAAGCAAATGCTGCACCTGGTTTTGATATTCAGCGTCTCATTGGCATCTTCAGGCTTGCCAAAAGCAATGTCGGGTAAGGACACGGGGGTCCTAGATTGACGCAGAGGTAGGTTCCTGTTGATCTTCCCTTGTAAATAAAACAAGAGAGAAGATGTTGCCATGCTTGGGAAAGATGACCCAGGCGGGTGATGTGATGCCACACTTACCAGCGGACTAGGATGACAAAGACCCTCCGAGACACCAACACACGGATACACACAGATAATGAAAGATCCCCCACGTGGCCTACTCAGGCTGTTTGTATGTAAGTTGAACTTATTTGACACCCCATGTAGCCAACCGTGCTCATCGGAGGTGCGGGGAAGGACAACAAACTAAACACAAAAAGTGCTGTGGAGCGAGTACCTCTGAGGGCTGTGTACGAAGCAGAGTTGTGGCAAGCACCATGCCTCACTGGCACCACGCCCGCCCCGCTTCCCAGTGCTGATATTTTACACACTGCATAAGGTACTCATTTGAGACTGAGACCATCTATGGAAAGGTTCAGGACCGGCTCAGAGCGAGAATCGAAACCCCGGTTTGCCGGGTTTGGAGCGCAGCACAATAACCGCAGCGCTAAGCGATGCACTCTCCACCTACATAAACTAATTCCCACTCGCACTCACTCACAAACAGCTGCAGGGCCAATCATTAATTCCATTCCGCCCAACCCCCCACCTCGCATCGTCTTTCTCCGACTCGGCGATCTTCGCTGGCCAAGCCTGGCAAGTGCCAACTCTGGCAAGCGCCAACTCTACCGTGGGATGACCTTGCGGGCCAAAGCCTCAATCTGGGTCCGATTCTTCAGCGTGCTTTGCCTTTTTCTCCCCCAGTTCTATTCCAATCGTATTGCCAAGGTCCAGGCGCAGCCCAGCAATTGCTTCCTCGTGCCGCTGCTGGCAGAAGGGCTCTCTGCGAGGGGGGGCGGCTGTGGCGAGCCCCTCCACGGGGGACCTGAACAGGTCACACGTTTCACTGCCCCTGACAACAGGAGACCACCGTCAACAACCCACGTCCCATCAACAACAACGACCCCACGTGGAACAAGGTGTGGGGGATATTTCTCCGAATAATCGGAAGGATCAAGGACTCCACCAAACCGGGAATGCGGGGAGGTGCAAACCCTCAGGCGTACATCACGGACGGCAGGCCTCATTACAACCACGCATTGTGCTCTGGTGGAACGAGCGGATCGCTCCACTCGGTCACCGTCCCAGACACCGTGGAATAGCTCGCAGCATTAAACAGGCCACTGTAGACCTGCTGCTGCTCTTTCCAAATGCCAAGCGAATGACACACGGTGGTGCTGGCAAGGTCAGAACACTCGGGACTCCACAATCGGAAAGTTACGACTCAATATCCCGGGGTCATGCGATTCGACTCAACCAATCATCTCCCCCACGGTCAATAAAATGGGAGTTACCGCTTTCAGTGGTTGACCCATGCTCTGTGGCTCCCTCCAGTGTCACGTGGGGTGTTCAACAATGCCTCAGGGCCGCCAATGGAAATGGGCATTGGGAGTTTGAACAGGGAGATGCGATCTAGCTGACAGGTGAAAGCGGATAAAGCTTCAGCACAACTCCATTCGGACTCTCCACAGATGAATACAACGTCTACTCCATCAGCCTGTTGGCTTCCCAGTCAAATATCAAACAACACTTTTCCCAGTTCAGTGTTGTTGTCCTGCCCCCGCAGCTCCGATTAGCACGGTTGGCTATGTACGGTGCGAAAGAAGTTCAGCACACACACACGTATAAGCAGCGTGTGCTTAAGTGAACCTCTGCAGTGATTATGACCTTCTGGGTCTCATCAGCATACTGCTGCATTACCCGACGTCATTGGCAAGAGCTCGCCATGTAAAATAATGGACTCCCACCCCCGCCCCATCCTCGTTCAATGAAAAAGACGTCAACGCCGGACACATTTGGCGTCTCTGCGGAGCGTCGTTCATCCGATGAGCTCACGCACCCATCGGGGGAAAAATAAAATCCATTCTGAAAGAGGAAGGCGGAAGCCAGACAGCGCAGAGCGCAAACAGCTGATGTAAGTGCGTCAAGCCAGACCAGGCTGTGTAATGGGAAAGCCAATTTGTTATCTGCACATTGGACTGCGGGCACCCGCCCCGCAGACACATAAAACGACCAGAGATTAAGATCCTGCACCGTATCGCCAGAGCTCGAGGCGACTATCTATTTAAGGGCAGCATGCCACAGACAAAGGGGGGCTAGCAGGGGGAGGGGGGGGTGTCTAGAACCACGCCCAGCTCACCTTTGTCTCCATCCAGCAGTGGATAATACCAAAAGGAGGTGTACATATGCACATGTACAGACACGGGTTCTGTGATGAAGGTCTATAAACTATAAAATATATTTTTTGAGACCGGTGTTTGATGATGGGGTCTCTAAGACAGCGATAACCCGACAGACCGGTCTCCGTTCCGACATTATTACACATTTAATATTATATATTTAAATAAAGATAAGCCGTAGGCGAACGCAGCCTCATTACCCCAACCTCCTCCGCAAACCGCGCTGAACAACGTCGCTTGGGAAACTCGTGACCTAAAGCAACAGCTTCACGCAGATAACCAAGTGCGTGAGGTTGAGTCAACTAAAATCTGTTTTCGCTTCCTCTTACAAATGGCAGTTTAGGGCAGTTTAGGAAACGATAACAACTTGTGCGTATTCACGGTGGGTGGCTATGCCCACTTCCCCTTTTTTGGGGACCCCCCCCCCCTCGCTCCCTCTTTACATCTTTTTTGGAAAATGGAAACAATAAGATTGGGTCACAGTCACGAAAACATCAAAAATACTGAAGTGTGCTGAGCTACGCTGCATCGCTGTTTCCTGCACTTCTCACAGTGAGTCGTTGCGAGGCACAGTGAGTCACAGTGAGTCACAGTGAGTCCTTGTGAGTCACAGCGAGTCACAGCGAGTCACAGCGAGTCAGTGAGTCCTTGTGAGTCCTTGTGAGTCACAGCGAGTCACAGCGAGTCACAGCGAGTCACAGCGAGTCACAGTGAGTCGTTGTGAGTCACAGTGAGTCCTTGTGAGTCACAGTGAGTCACATTGAGTCACAGCGTGTCACAGCGAGTCACAGCGTGTCACAGCGAGTCACAGCGTGTCACAGCGTGTCACAGCGAGTCACAGCGAGTCACAGCGAGTCACAGTGAGTCACAGCGAGTCACAGCTTGTCACAGTGAGTCACAGTCAACTGTAAAGGTCCATCAACTTCACACGGAACAGAAAATGGGCCATTGCAGAATGTGATTTGTTTTTTACCGTACAGACCAAAAAGCGTTCAGTATTTACTGTGTGCATGGCGTGCTGAGCTGTGGCCAGTTGGATGGTTGGTCTCGAGGGGCCGTCGGTACCCGCATCCTCCACCTCACCTATCACACACCCCCCCCCCTTTTATTAGCCGGCTCGGTCCGGCTAAGTACGAATTATGGATATGCAGGGTCAGGCGGACGTATGTCAAAATTCTTTCACACCGTATGTAGCCAACCGTGTTAATTGGAGGTGCGACAGCCGGCATTTAACTTTAGATCAGCCCCGAGGCCTGCACTGCCGCCGGACAATCACAGCGTCGACGCACGCTGTCCCCGTGGTCTCTCACCGCGTGCTGGGAGCCTCCTGGACGCTCCACTGGGAGCCCACGCCCCCCTCTTCTCCCCCTGCTGCCTCCGCTCCTCTCCACGACCGCGGCTTCACTCGGCGGCCCCTGAAGCAGGCCCAGTTTCGGCCCAGCACGTCGTGCACCCAGCCGGCCCGCGTCTCCGCGCACAGGCTCGTCACGACGGTGCCCACCTGAGTGAACTGACGGGCGGGTGAGAAGGGAGAGAGAAGGAGATATGAGAGACGGAGAGAATACGTCAGATGCGGAGACTCAAGTGCTCGGGCCCGGACTCCGGAATTCGTCAGTGAAGTAACAAGGCAACCGATGACGGGGGATTCCTGTTCTACCATGTTCTACGTGGAGAGACAAGTGTGTGGGAAGGCCGCGTACGGTTGCCTTGCGAGCGACAGTCGGTGCTTACGTTGAAGAAGGCGAACCACTTGTACCCGGCGAGCACCACCTCGAAGCCCTGGTTGTAGATGATGGTGAACGTTCCCTGGTTTCCCTTCTCGTCGGCCGCCACGTTCATCTTGAGCAGGTGCAGCCGTACCACCTGCACGGCCTTGCCTGCGTGGGGACACAACGAGCGTTACGGGGCTGGGTCGCCCTGGGCATACACAACGCAGGTTCATTACACGCAAAAAAGCGCATTGCCACAAATGAACCACGATAGCTCGCCGACGTCGTCAAGAAGCATGAACTATCATCTCGCAAATTCCGGTCATCCTCGCAGCGGTGGCTTTTGGCTAACCACTGAACAAAGATGGTCACCGCATTGCGCGCTTCTGCGGCTGTCTGGAACGCTTTTCCTTCTGGTATTAGGAAGCCACTGGAGCTGTGCAACTTGTAAATCTAAATTGAAAACTCATTTCATTAGAATTGCTTTTTGTGTTCAGTGTTCCTGTCCTTTCCCCGCACCTCCCACGTACGGTGCTAAAGAAGTTAAACACACACACACACACAAGTTGGGTGCACCTGGCATCCACACGCAGCTGCATCTCAAGACACTGTAGACTAGCAATAGTGGATGGGTGACATTTCGTGCACGTGGCTCTTATTAACGAATGTGTTGACTTTTACGTTCATGTGCAGCTCTCTCACCCATGCGGTGACACCTGTTCCAGTAGTGGCCCAGACGGCTCTACATTTGGCATTTGTGACCGAGGTGGAAGGAATTGATTTGAGACCTCGTGTGCAACTTAATTACAGTAAACTGTGGACTTTTCCTGATAAAAATAGTTGATTTGTATATTTTTCGTTATTTACTAACCTTTCCTATACTTTTCAATTCTGCCATGCGTTTGTATTGTTGTCGAAACTTTCTGACCCGCCCCTATCTCCTGGACATCGGTGAAAAAGAGCTTTAGAGCTCATCGGATTCCTCCAGAATAACCATTCTCAGAGACCTCGGCTAAGAAATGTCCGGGATGGGTCTGCGGAAAATGGCGATTGGTGGCTGCACAGCCCCTAGGCGACAGGCAAAACGGATCGGTGTGAGATTCACGGTGTCCTCCACATCGCTTTACTCCACGCCGCGAATGCGATAGGGCCAGGCTGCCAAACGCACCTCAGATGCAGGACCCTCATCGAAACGAGTGTTGAGACTCTGTGGAATGTTCCTGCACAGACACCGCTCCACACCAGTGTCCTCAGAGGCAACACAAAGACGCAGCCCTCCCTCCCTCCCTCCCCTAACAGCATGTGATTAGAACTCAAATGAAGTCGCGAGAAGTACGGGGCGCTTCAAAAAATAAAAGTTTTAACACTTCTGAGAATTTGCAACGATACCACGGGAAATGTTCCGACTGCGGGCTCTGGACACCACCTGGAGAAGATTCCAGGCACGTGTTGACAACGATGGCGATCAAGTGGGGAGAGACGCTTTCACTTCTGTGAAGCTATTAACGTTACATTTGTTATCACGTTACAGTGTAGCAGTATTATTAGCCGTTCTTTTCCCATTAAAAACGGTAGTCCCATATAAGTTGTTAAACATTTATTAAAGCACCCTGTTATTTAATGAATATGTTGATACAATGTACTTATTATATACTTCCCCCCAGAGGAGACATCTCACTTTGTAGGTATGTCCTGATCGATTTGTACACTCACATCTCATTATTCACATTATCTGGCTGCTATACATTTACACGTGAAGATTAGCCCCCTTCGTTGGGCTACCATTTGTGACCAGATCACTTCTGGAAAAGAAGCTGTACAGCTTCGTGGGCTTTACCTGGTCAGAGAAAACAAATAGTTTAGTTGTATTTGCAGTTATATTCGTTATTTGTTTACCTTGCACATACATTGCCCTCCTATCGTGTTTTTGTATTTGTTGTTATAACCCCGCCAAGGCCGTAGCCATGGGGGGGGGGGGGGGGAAATCTTCTAGAGGGTCTGGAGGTCCCAGCCCAGAAAAAAAAATCTTCATTTGAAAACCAATTTCCTGCCATTTCCTGCATAAAATATTTTTTTAAAATTCACTAACACATAGGGTGGACTTTTTATTGATCTTTTACAATAATGTTTGCTAGTGTACATTACTATTCATATTCTTAGCTCTTTCGGTAAAGTCACGTTGAAGGGAAACAATAAAATAATAAAATATATATAAAACAATAAAAAAAAATCTCACGACGTTTCGACCATAACACAAACGGTCGTCATCAGGTGTTAGGGATTAAAGTACAACCACAATGATGACGACCGTTTGTGTTATGGTCGAAACGTCGTGAGAATTTTTATTGTTTTATATATAATTTAGTATTTTGTTTTCCTTCAACGTGACTTTACCGAAAGAGCTAAGAATATGAATTACTGCAGTCACGAAAGCTTTAAATCAAAAGTGTACATTACTGTTTTTTTATTTTTTTACATTTTCTTGTTTCATTGTATTTAATGGCAGAGGTTAGGGATTAAAGTACAACCACAATCATATAAACAGAAATATATTTTATAGAAATATATTGGGGGGGACATTTTGAGCATATTGGAAGATTGGGGGGATGTGTCCCCCCCAATATTCAATATATATTATAATTACGGCTTTGAACCTCGCCCCTACCGAACATCTCTGAAAAATCGCTTTATAGCTCATCGGATTCCTCCAGTCGACAAAGATTCAGTTTCTAAAAGAGTTGTGTACCGAATACCAGCCAGTCAGAGACACAATTAGATCAACAAACACATTATCAAAGTCTGCTAGACCATGAGGAATGTACTCACTCGAGCTGCACCATTTATGTAAAAGTTGTAAAGATTAAGTGCCGTGAAGTGGCAGGGCCCCAACGCCTCTAAGTGGGCATCTTAGGGGGCATCTTAGGGGCCACTTAGGGGGTCTCTTAGGGGGCATCTTAGGGGTCTCTTAGGGGGTCTCTTAGGGGCATCTTAGGGGGTCTCTTAGGTGGTCTCTTAGGGGCCAATTAGGGGGTCTCTTAGGGGGCATCTAAGGGGGTCACTTAGGGGGTCTCTTAGGGGCCACTTAGGGGGGTCTCTTAGGGGCCACTTAGGGGGTCTCTTGGGGGGTCTCTTAGGGGCCAATTAGGGGGTCTCTTAGGGGCCACTTAGGGGGTCTCTTAGGGGCATCTTAAGGGGTCTCTTAGGGGGTCTCTTAGGGGGTCTTTTGGGGGCCACTTAGGGGGTCTCTTAGAGGGTCTCTTAGGGGCCACTTAGGGGGTCTCTTAGGGGCCACTTAGGGGGTCTCTTAGGGGGTCTCTTAGGGGCCACTTAGGGGGTCTCTTAGGGGGTCTCTTAGGGGGTCTCTTAGGGTCCACTTAGGGAGTCTCTTAGGGGTCTCTTATGGGCCACTTAGGGGGTCTCTTAGGGGGTCTCTTAGGGGCCACTTAGGGGGCCACTTAGGGGGTCTCTTAGGGGCCACTTAGGGGGTCTCTTAGGGGCATCTTAGGGGGTCTCTTAGGGGCTCTCTAAGGGGGCCTCTTAGGGGGCCCCTTAGGGGGGTCTCTTAGGGGGGCCACTTAGGGGGGTCTCTTAGGGGGCCACTTAGGGGGTCTCTAAAGGGGCCACTTAGGGGGTCTCTTAGGGGCCACTTAGGGGGTCTCTTAGGGGGCCACTTAGGGGGTCTCTAAAGGGGCCTCTTAGGGGGCCTCTTAGGGGGCCTCTTAGGGGGTCTCTTAGGGGGCCACTTAGGGGGGTCTCTTAGGGGGGTCTCTTAGGGGGCCTCTTAGGGGGCCTCTTAGGGGGCCTCTTAGGGGGGTCTCTTAGGGGCATCTTAGGGGCCTCTTAGGGGGTCTCTTAGGCGGGTCTCTTAGGGGGGTCTCTTAGGGGGATCTCTTAGGGGGGCCTCTTAGGGGGGTATCTTAGGGGGGCCTCTTAGGGGGGTCTCTTAGGGGGGTCTCTTAGGAAAGTCTCTTAAGGGGGGTCTCTTAGGGGGGTCTCTTAGGGGGGTCTCTTAGGAAAGTCTCTTAGGGGGGGTCTCTTAGGGGGGGTCTCTTAGGGGGGTCTCTTACCCCCCCCCCCCACCAACTCCTCCTCACCTGCTGACTCGCAGTCCACTTGGGGTCCGGAGTTGAGCGGCCCGACCTCCATCTCCCACGTGCCCACGAGGTCCTCGAACGTGCAGTTCACGGGCAGGTCTGCCCCGGCCTGACCGGGCAGCAGCAGCAGCAGCGGCAGGAGCAGCAGCAGCGGGGTCCTCGCCATGGCGAACGTGGCCAGCGCAGTGGCCGGGGGAGGCAGCGAGCGAGGCGGTGGTGCAGCTGCCGCTGTGGGGAGACAAAGGCGGACCCGGCACACAAACACAGAGCCGGGCTCTGCTCGCCGCGCCTGCACTGGGACAAAGTGGAAGGATCGATTCCTCGAAGCTTCGATTTCCTCTCTTTAAGTCTTCGTCGCAACGAATCGATTCCCGTGCGCGTGACACAGGGCGTTGTTGGGGAGCGGTGGCGCGGTGGTTAGCGCTACGCTGCGCTGCGAACCTGGCGAGGCCGAGTTCGGATTCCCGATCACGGCCAACACCGGTGACGATTATTCGAACCGGTCGTGCGCCTCCCCTAGGTGGACTCAGCCTCAAATGAGTACCCGGTGCGAGTCGCAGGGTTCAGATGCGCTCCTGTCGGGTTTTTCTCTTCTCCGTTGTCACGTTCTGACCCCGTGCCCCTCCTGGACATCTGTTTAAAACAAGAGCTTTGTAGCTCATCGGATTCTCCCGGCCACCGTACAAATAACGATTTTGATTACGAATGAACGAGATTAATCGATGCTCTCCATCAGAGATAAAGAATCGATTCCTCCCTCCACCCGCTCCCGTTGGAGCGCGTGCGGCGCACAGCTGATCGGCGTCGCGTCACGTGGCCACGGTCGGCCATCTTGCGTAGGGGGAATCCGAAGAGCTGTGAAGCTCTTGAGGAAGGAAGTCCAGGACGCGGTCACGGGGTCACAACGTCACAACTACAAACAAATACAAAACACAAACTATGGGAGTGCGAAGTATAGGGAAGGTTAGCAAGTCACTTTAAAATATATTTAAAATCTAACTAAACTATGTATTATTTTATCTTAGGTAAAGCGACGTGGTGGTGGCCATGTATTTATAATAATTATAAATAAAGATTACAGCGTCGTTCGTGCAAAAGTTAATCTCACAAACCACTGCACAAATACAACGCGGCAGTGGTGCAAGATAAACAACAGGGCCGTCAGAAGGCGACGTTTCGGGCAGCGGGCCTTCATCAGGGCACACAGGGCAGAGTGGATTATGAGAGATGGTTTTCATTAGCGACAGTGTTTTTTGTTAATGAATGTAGAGTTTACGCCATGGGGCCTCATGAGAATTACCTTTTAAAATGTTTTTTTATGATCAGTTTTTAAAATGGCAAATGAAGTTCGCTTCCAGTAACTTTGTTTTTCAATTCGCATAAGAACCTACCGATTGTTTTATATTTGCATACGCAGTTAGCTAATAGCTATTATGTAATTACTAATAGCTATTAGGTAACTTAATAGCTATTAGGTAACTACTGTACTTCATAAGCTCGCTGAAAATCTGGGAATCAGAAAAAAAAACCCATTCTCATCAGGCCCCACGATTCTTATCCTCTTTCTCTTGCCTCTCTGCTTTACTTAAAGGGCTCTAAGAAATGGCCATTTCCCGAAACGTCGCCTATGGGGCCGTCCATAAATGACGTCACGCACCTAGGGTGGGGGTCGGACATTTGTGACGATGTGTGACGGGGAGGTGGGGGTGAGAAATGTGACGTCACATCAAAATGCGCAACTTTAAATAAATATAGACAACACGTTATACTTGATTAAATAGACTTTTTAATGAATGTTCAGAGTGCAGCGCCACATTAAATACGCACTACAATGACGATAGTTTAAAGCGATTTGAAGCATGTTTTATATATTTGGGGGGGGGGGGGCAGAGCTTGTGACGTCATATTTGAGGGGGGTTCTGACTTTTTTGTGACGTCGTGTGACGATGGGGGGGGGGGGGGTCAAAAATCGTCAAAAATCGCGTGACGTAATTTATGGACGGCCCCCAAGGTTCTTTAAGAAACTTTGTCTTTGTTGTGTATATCTAAAGCCACTGTTGTTGGAACAAGTGGGAGCACGGCTCAGTCAACCCCCTAACACCTGGGTTCTGTCCTGTGACCTGTCAGCAGCAAGACTTGCGCACTGCACGCGGCCTCAAAGTGCACCTAGCCTGGCACAAGTGCCGTGAAGTGGCATCACCACCATGAAGTGGCGAATAGTAGCTGACGGTGTGTGCCATGAAGCGTGGGGACGAGGTGGCCGAGTGGTTAAGGCGATGGACTGCTAATCCATTGTGCTCTGCACGCGTGGGTTCGAATCCCACCTTCGTCGCGAACACTTTTTTTTATTATCGATCCTGAGCTCTCATCGCCATGAATACATTCTCACTGATTGTGACTCTCGGCTCCCAGGAGCAACGCTGGCCATGCCAATGTAACCAATGTGGTTGGCCATAATAGAGGGTTTTTGGGTTAGATCGCGTAAATATATAAATGTGTCGTGAAAGCCACCACCACCCGACACGGCCAACTAAGAAAGGCTGTCGCCTGATGAAGCTTGCCACAAATTTGGCTGTCGCCTGATGAAGCTAGTTGTAATTACTGGCGAAACGTCGTACTCAGATTGTAAATGTTGTGGCTTGGCTCTCCAACACAACCGGTTAGTGCTGTACTAGTTTACTACACTATACACTACACTATACACTACACTATACACTACACTATACACTACACTATACACTAGTGCTGTACTAGTATACTACACTATACACTACACTATACACTAGTGCTGTACTAGTATACTACACTATACACTACATTAGACACTACACTATACACTACACTATACACTAGTGCTGTACTAGTGACGAATTGGCCACGTTCTGATGACGTGACAACCCTTACTAGTTGGCTGTGTCGGGTGGTGGCGGGTTTAACGACACAACATTTATATATTTACGCGATCTAACCCAAAAAAACCTCTGTTCCGGATGATATTTGTCGCGAAAGTCTCCGTGTGAAACCAGTGTGGTAGTGTTACTCATAAATGTTGAAGGGTCACGGTTAGCTGAGGATAAATGGGAGGTGCGTTAGTCCACGCCCTTCATCAACCTGCGTTCCTCCATGGATTTGTGATCGACGAGGCCCCCGAACAGCTCCTTACTGATCAGGGGCGACATTTTTCATCGGGAAACTCCTACGGGATGTGTGCGAGGCGCCGGGCACAAAAAAGAAGCGCGCTTCCCCATACAAATCCTCAGATGGATGGCGCGGTGGAACGGCTGAACAGAACGAGAACGTCCATGCTCTGCCAGGTTGTAGGTGAGGCCCCCACGTGCCTCCACGGGATTGTTCCCCTTTCCCCTCGTGCCCAGCCTCATCCGCCCATAGAACCCCAGTTGGGTAAAACCCCCACGGGCGTGCCCGACCAACCCGCGTCCTCGCAGACCACGCTCGACCGAGACTATTGGAAGCACGCACAGCGGCAATGGCGAGCACGGCCGAAGGCCCAGGCCGCCAACGAGCGGGACGGCGAGGCGTGGGGGTTCACGCACTCGCCTGGGCGGTAGGCGACGAGGCCCGGTTGAGTTGCCCGCAGGTCCCATTACGGACGTCTCCCAAACGGCGCCGACCGTGGCAGGGCCCGGTGGAAATCGTGGAAGTAAATCGGCCGCGATGCGTCCCCATTGGTTTGTTCACCCTTCGCGTCTCAATGCCCTACGAAACTCCGTCGTCACGCAAGCACCTCATCTCCATGTCCTGTTACACCGCCCGGGCTCTTAGGGTGTCCGACAAGCCACAGCAGCCGCCCGGAGAAATGGAATCACTTTGTGCATGCTCCTGTGCCACCCACTTTGTGCATGCTCCTGTGCCACCCACAGGACTGAGCCACAATGCGGACAACTCACTGCTGGACCCTGGAGCATACTCCGATTCGTCAATAAGGACCCGTGCAAGATGCGTGCGGTTGCGCTAACACTGTTCCTGACGCTCCAGGTGGCCGCTACACCTCGTTGTTCCCACAGTCTTGTTAATGTTTACCTATTTGTGAGAGTCGTTGATCGATTACATAATTGACAAATGTTTCACCACTTTAGTCCACCGTGGTGTTGAATAGATCAGTATTGATCTATTACATAATTGCATTCACCCCCACCTCCGATCTCGAATCCTGATGGGGTTCAACAACGATGACGTCACCCTGCACTATTTAAGACCTGAAGCAGGTGGATGGCTTCACTATTCTGGCAAATCGCCCGAAGATGCTGGATGTAATTAAAAGCGAAACGTCGGACTAAAATTGTAAATGTTATGGAGTCACTCTTCAACACACCGGTGGGCTAAAGTAGTGAACTATTTTGTCTTTTGTCAACGTGACACTTTTTTTACTGATTGGCCGTGTCGGGTGGTGGAGGGTTGCGACACATTCATAAATAACGCGATCTAACTCAAAAACCTTTATTATGAATAACACTTTACATACGTTCGATAAGAGGTTATGGAGTCGCAGTTTTTCAAATAATATTTATCCCCATTTTTAAAAAGAGTGGTTGAGGCATCATTCCATGATTGCGGTTTTTAATTTCTGTGTAGAGATTTTGTCTTGGGAGGTTTCACCTTCAAACTGCGAAGGGCAGTGTTGACTTGTGCAGTCTGCCATCTGCACTTGACAGCCAGTCCGATTCCTGGGCTAAACATTTTGCGTTTTGCTAAAGAGATCTGCATATAGCTCCTCCACTAATTTTAAAATATCTCAATCACGAGCTGTGGTTTTCTCGTCCTGAATTGCCAATCATCAACCTCCCGTTTCCTGCTTTCAAGCTCCCATTGCTTCTAAATTTCGATTTAAAGCTTTCGTGACTGCAAGGATTCATCTTCTTTGGTTCTTTCGGTAAAGACACGTAGAATGAGAATAAAATAATACATTGATAAAATAAAATAACACAATAATATTCTCACGACGTTTCGCTTGTGTTGTGGCCGAAACGTCGTGAGAATATGATTGTGTTATTTTATTTTATCAATTTATTATTTTATTCTCATTTTACGTGACTTTACCGAAAGAACCAAAGAAGATGAATCCCATTGCTTCGTTCATCGTTGTGCAGTGTTCCCTCCTTTCTTTTCCTCATCATTTCACGGAGATCACAGTGATGGAAAGAAAGTCGTTGCCATCCACAATAAATGATAGAACCAAGAGGAAAACTGGCATCAGAACTATTTACAGCTGTAAGTTGTGTTCATTTGTACACCTCATCACCATTACATTTATTTGATTTGAAAGACGGATACATTATTTGACAAGTTAATGGTTTCCACATTTTTTATTGGTATAAAAACATGTAATTTCAGGTTTATAGATTAATTATTAAAAAAAAAACATTTTCTAATGATGACCGACATTTTATGTTACATTTCTGTTCGAGTCATAAATCTGCCTGACCAAGACTGTCCCCACCCACGACTATTGTCCCCACCCACCACTATTGTTCCCACCCACGACTATTGTCCCCACCCACCACTATTGTTCCCACCCACGACTATTGTCCCCACCCACCACTATTGTTCCCACCCACCACTATTGTTCCCACCCACCACTATTGTTCCCACCCACCACAACTGTCCCCACCCACCACAACTGTCCCCACCCACGACTATTGTCCCCACCCACCACAACTGTCCCCACCCACCACAACTGTCCCCACCCACCACAACTGTCCCCACCCACGACTATTGTCCCCACCCACCACAACTGTCCCCACCCACCACAACTGTCCCCACCCACCACTATTGTTCCCACCCACCACAACTGTCCCCACCCATCACAACTGTCCCCACCCACCACAACTGCCCCCACCCACCACAACTGTCCCCACCCACCACAACTGTCCCCACCCACCACAACTGCCCCCACCCACCACAACTGTCCCCACCCACCACTATTGTTCCCACCTACCAATACAACCGCCATTCGCCACTAAGTGACGGTGACATCACCACAGTACCTGTGCCAGGCCAAGTGCACTTTGAGGCCACGTGAAGTGTCGTAGGCTCGCTGACAAGTCTCGGGACAGACCCAGCAGGTGCCATGGATTGGCTGAGATGACCACTGGTAGATGCACCACCAGCTGTACCCCCTACTGTGCCGACTTGCTGCGTTTTAGCCGCCCGGTGCACCGCTCGTTGTTGTGAGCGTTGCTCCTCCGCCCTCCGTTGTTGCTGGAGGGCGACTGACTCCAAACTGCCCAGTAGCGTCCTTCACGAGTCTCCTCTATAGAGGCTAATCTTGACACCGCTGGTACCAGTCGTCGGCAAGTCTATTCAGCGCTACATCATCTCGTACCGCATCAGACCATCTCTTCTCCAGCCCATGTCATGCCCGTTTAGCACCCTTTATGCGGCCAAATAGAAGCTGCATGGGCATGCGGTGGCTGGGCATGCAGGCTACATGACCCAGCCAACACAGCCTTGCCTGCCAGACGAGCTCACTGAATGTGTCCAGATCTTTAAAGGATTGTGAGCTCCTCACACAATACAGGCTGGTTAAACCCAGGATGGATCGCAGGCATGCCAGCCTGAATGTTTCTAACTGGCGCAGATGTTTCATTAGAAGAGTCTACGTTTCACAAGCATAGAGAAGGGAGGGCATGACTGTGGCGAGAAGACCCGAAGCTTGTGCGGAGTGATAGACCAGCAGCTTCCACACAGCATTGCGCAGCCGATAATGCCGCCCGACTGATTCGGAGTGAGACCTCTGCTGTAAAACCGGAGCTTTTCATAAGCACACTGCCCAGGTTTGTGAAACTCTCCACAACTCCTCCATCACCAATGGGGAGCTGAAGAGGTGGCGTGTTTGGTGGCACAAAATACCCATGCAGATGCTTAGTTTTGGTGAGGCTGATGGTAAGACCCCACCTCTTAGTGGCACACTCAAGGTTCAGCAGCAGCCCCTCCAACTCTTCTGAGTGAACAGCAATTACCAGATCATCAGCATACATAACGTGGTTGACCAATAGGGAACCATCCCTCGACCGCACACGGGCATTGATCAGCCTCCCATTGTATCTGTCCCAGATAGAAATTCCTCCAGTACAGCCATGGAAAGTTTCTTGAACTACGTGGTCAAAGATGATGTTAAATAATGTGGAAGCCAGAGGACATCCCTGTCGCACCCCTAGGTGACCAGGGAATGGCTCCGACTCCTGGCTACGTAGCCTACCATCATGAAGGCCCTTAATGATTGTGAACAGAAAGTCAGGGACTCCGAAAGGATGAAGAACTGCTCACAGCCCTGGCCTGTTATTGATAACATAGGTCTTGGCCAGGTCAATAAAGCAGAGATGTCACCACGTACTATCCCCACCCACCCATATACAATTCCCCTCGAAGCTGACTCGCTGTAAATTTGTTGTTTTGCATAAATGTTATAATCAACCAAAGATTACTTTTGGTAGGGGGGGGGTCTCAAAGCTGCAGACAAAACTCCGTGAGCTGTGGGTGGGTATCTCGGAGACCCCACACGATCTCCCACAGTCTGTTCGCGCAACGCGGATATTTCTTCACGACATCCAGCAGCAGCGTGACAGACTTCTTCATCTCCGTTGCATCTCCAAGCAACGTAGCCTCTGTCTCCTGAAACATCGGTGATGACAGTGTCATGCAATGTCCTTTTAAGATCAAGATGTCTTTGCAGCTCGCATCGTTTATACCTCCACACCTCGCCATTCTCCTAGAATCCACAAACGCTACAAAGTATATTTTGTATGATCATTACGCTTGCTTACCGAGGAAAGTATCATGAATGTTTTTTTTTTTATATATATAAGGGTCTTGCCACGTTTTTGACAGCAGGGGGTTGATGATTGCTATGCTCTGTATATTTTGCGAGTCATTTTTAAAACGTGGCAAATTTGGAGCATGAGGCCAGCGTGCAACGATCTGCTCCTATGAATGCTGTCACGGGATATGTAACATCCACTGTGACGCAGACGGCATGTAGTTGTGTGGTTAACACGCCCAGAGTATCCATCGGAGTGGCTGCCGTGACCCTCTTCAACAAGCGCCGAGTGCGCTACCGCGAGGTCATGTCACCGCCCTAGAAACCAAACCTCAAAGCTCCATTTCCTTAGCATCCCGATGTGTGGCTTTAGCTCGCCTCCTTGGTCACCAAACGCTGTGATTGCCACTTGAATGCCAGTCTTGGTAAAGTGCTCTCCTCCATTCTTACACGACGCCTCCCTACCATCGTGTACGATCCTCTTGATGCCGATGTCTGCATCGGTTTCATATTCCCAACTTCCAAATTGAATGTAGACTTCAGCAGCCACATGTATATACACACTGTATATACACTGCATATATACTGTACATATACACTGTATATACTGTATATACACTGTAAATACTGTATATATACTGTATATATAGAGAAAAACAAACGTGATGGCCCAGGTGGCATGTGGTAGCCCGCATCCATTTATGGATTGAGAAATAACGATGAATTTGAGTGTATTTACACGCTGACAGAAGGTAGAAAGTTACCCCGCGGTGCCCACCTTAGTGATGAGGTTTTGTTGGAGGAGGTGACGTAGAAGAAATTTGACATCACTTTGCAGGATACAAATCAGGTTTGGGAGGGAATTCTGCAGAGCATTGCTGAGTTCAGCGTCGCTGCGTTGCATGATAAATAAGGGGGAGTTGTTCAGAATTTCCATGAAGAACCCTGAAAGCGAGCGACAAGAAGAGTCAACAAATAGGCGACGTGCCTACATCCCTTATATATGCCTTCTGGAAGTGCAACATTCAGCAGAATTGGTTCACTCCAAACAAAGAATGGAAGAAATTTGACAAATCAGTGTCTCATCAGCAGAACAACGTCTGTTTGAACCAATGCGAGTGAACTGCTGTTTATTGCCAACCACCCGCTCTGTCAAATGTGGGTCCGGGTTTGACACAAAACAATAAAATACACAACACAAAATGACCATTAGCGTCATTATATAACTAACAAAGTGAACAAGGAACAGAAAAGCACGACATCGTTATCTGCCCCTACAGTGGTCAGGAGAAGCGAGGAGACGTGCAACGGTAGTTACATTTAGACGATACGTGTGCAGTATTGTACACTGCGTTATTTTTTTTCCGTTCTAATTTCTCATTCATTTTTTTCATTCACCGTTAAAGTTTTATTTAACACTAGAAAATACGATTACAATTTCCCATTCAAAACACTTCCTGTTAAATGTTTGGGTTGATGTAGGCTAACATAAAGCAACAGGAGGGTTGGGTGTTGTATTACGAACTGTGAACCAATCTCGAGTTTTCCCCATTTGCTTTTGAGTTTTCCGATCACGGATTTTCCGTTCGCGGTTATTTTCAAAAACGCAACCCCCCGCGATGGGCCAGGGTTTACCGTACTTCGTCTAGCGTGAAAGGAGGCCGATGTCACTGTAGGGATGAAATTCGTAAAATTGCGAGACAACAAAAATATCTCCTCATATGCCACTCACCGAGAGAGTGTAGCCACTCGTGCAAGTGGGAGTAGTGGACGTGCACGGCTTGAAGGGCAAACAGGAGCTTCTCACAGCCTTCGTCCCCTCGGTCGATGAAGTGATTCAGAACATTCAAGGCGCATTCCTTGTTGTTTGTGAACGAAGACGCCCTGTAAGCTGTCAGGAATCCGTATTTTTCCAACTTGTCCACGAGGTGACTCGGATTGGAGCTCAGCCATTGCTTAAGTTCAAGTTTATTCGTGCGAATAGCTCTCAGTGACTGTCCTTCCACGATGATTAACTTCACGTTCCTGTCTGTGAGAACAACCGATCGAGCACTTGATTACACCTCCTACGCGGACACAGCATGACATGCCATTGGCTGAACTATACAAGTCTCACCTTGGTGAGGTGGCCAGGTGCCTACAGAGGTCAAGAGCGCTGACCCCGGCACCAATAAGATTAGCGGGTTCAAATTCAGGAAGCTGCATGTGATTAAACCGACTTCTCAAGTGAGTTGATGGTTAGAGCCCAGTTTTTAATTACTGCACACAAACCGATGACGTTAAATTTCGTTCTGCGCTTAAGTTTGCAAAGTCACAGCTGAGAGAGTTAAAAATGCAACGCACTGGTTTGACCGTCATGCAATGAACATTGACCTCTGTGGCAGAGGTCATGGGAAAGAGTTGCCTCCTACTGTATAGGCCCGAGGTCACTTGCAGGGATCTCAGAGGTTGCTCTGTGGCATCCGCTTCACTGGGCCGCTCTGCTCTCTCATGCGAAGTGTTGCACGCCTTGTGAGAGATCCAATTGAGAGAATGTCTCTCATTGCTTGATGCCGGTAGCACAATCGGGATTACATTATGGAAAAATAAAAACGCTTTTAAAGTGGGTACATCTCTCTTACCCATAGCGATCAGCCAATTCCACATCTCAGCGTAAGTCTTTCTCACATCAAAAAGGGCCCTCAGCAGGACACGACATTGGTGCTCTCCGCCCTCCATGAAATGTGTGACCAGAACGTTGATGCGTTGTTCCAGCGGCAAGGCGGTGACTCGTTTGTAGAAGTCACGTGACATCAGGCTGTTGCTGTCGAGATGCTCCAGAAGGTGCTCTGGGTTGACTCTGAGCCAGAGCTTCAATTCCCTCTTCTTGGTTTTCAGTAAAAAGAACGCCGGTCCCCCCAGTTCATCGTCAGCATTTGTAATCAGCATTTCCAACTCCAACATTATGAGTGAACAAAAACACAGAGCCCTTGATGAAAACGGTGAAATAATCTCACATCGAACTGTATCTAAGTACATGCACAACCCTTTTCTCAATCCACTGCTATGAGGGTCTGCCTGTGTCGTGCAGGTCACGGGGGTTATTTGACCATACTTCACCTTGCAGGTCAGTGTGGGTTGGTGAAGGGGGCGTACCTGTACCAGATCAGAAATCTCCCACTGATGGTAGCTATGGATAAGAATGGATCAATAGGGCTGTGCACTCACCACAGGGTTTCTACCAGTTGTATCACATTTGCCTGAGGACAATTGCAAAGGGATATATACAGTGCCACTGGGGAAAATGCTCGTAATGTTTTCACATTTTTACAAAGGCAATCGATACATTGTGACAACGGTGGACTATGCAACCTGGTATTTGGAAGCAGTTGCACGTGAAGTGGAAGTTGCCGAGGCTCTGATAACAATTTATTCATTTGCAGCGGGCATTTCCCCCAAGTAACCCAATGGGCATTCATTTTGCAATGTTAGCCCATGGGCATTCCGTGTTCCCGTGTAACCCTATTGGCATTCGTTTCGACTTGAGCCACCGGGATGGTTGGCAATCTGCTTTGGAGCAGCAGTTGTGAGCCACCAAACCATCTCATGTGTTGAAAGTAATCATTTAGCCATTTCTAACACTTGGCCAGAACAGTCATTAGCTCTGTTCACAGACTTATCTTGGCACTCCGCATGCATATAGCCTCATTTTATCATTTTGTTTCAACGTGTTCCTCGGATTACAGGCGTAGAGAATACAAAATTACATTGAATTGTTACGGATAGTCATCGCTTGTACTGTAGTGGTAGTGCCTTATGCCCAAAAACCCCACTCCAAGCCAGCCAAGCAACCTTCGGGAAGATTGGAGTGATAAATGAAGCCCCTCATGTGAATCCGCGTTTAGATTCAAAACGTGGCATGGATTAACACGTCGTCAGAATCGCACTCGTTGCAGGGACACTCACGACTGTATGGGGCCAGACGATGGGTAGTTGATCCTTTGGTTCCCTTATTTTTTTTATTAGATTTTCTGCAAAACATAAACATCAATGTTTTAGGATGAAGAGGCTTTGCCCTTTCCGGCAATAATACAGGAGGTTCAAACTTGATTTGAAGCTTTCGTGACTGCAGGAATTACTCTTTGGTTCTTTCGGTAACGTCACGTAGAAAGAAAATAAATTAAATAATAGAATACGACGTTTCGATTGCAACACAAGCAATCATCATCAGGTAGAACTAAATTTGAGAGAGAGACAAAACACAGACACGGAGACACACGGACAGACAGACAAGCAGAGAGAGACAACACAGAGACACACAGAGAGACACACAACATAGACACACAGAGACACAACATAGACACACAGAGACACAATGCCTCTGTGTCGAGGCCTTAAACAGAGAGAGAGGGGGGTGGGGGTTTGGGCAGAGAGAGAGGTGGGTCTCCTGGGGCAGCTGCTGGAGCAGAGAATTCAGCATGTCAATGAATCCACCCCGAAGCGACCGAGGAAAAGAAGATCGAATGGCCCAATGAGAGCCTAAAATGTACCAGGCTCTCATAGGGCCATTCGATCTTCTTTCACTCGGTCGCTTCGGGGTGGATTCATTGACATGCTGAATTCTCTGCTCCAGCAGCTGCCCCAGGAGACCCACCTCTCTCTCTGCCCCCCCCCCCCTCTCTGTTTAAGGCCTCCACACAGAGGCATTGTGTCTCTGTGTGTCTATGTTGTGTGTCTGTGTGTCTATGTTGTGTGTCTCTCTGTGTGTCTCTGTGTTGTCTCTCTCTGCTTGTGTGTCTGTCTGTGTGTGTCTCCGTGTCTGTGTTTTGTCTCTCTCTCAAATTTAGTTCTACCTGATGACGGTTGCTTGTGTTGCAATCGAAACGTCATATTCTATTATTTAATCTATTTTCTTTCTACGTTACTTTACCGAAAGAACCAAAGCGTAATACAGAAGGTGTTAAGATGTCCAAACACAAAATAGACAACACCTATTATCACAAGGCATCAAGTCTTCATTCACCACACATGCTCGTGGTAAAACATACATACATAACAAAACATACATAACAATGTTACGCATAGTCCTCGAAACTGATTGGCCACACGAGAGACAGCCGCCCTTCGTGGCCTTGTCTCACCACCGGTGTTAGACCAGAGAACAACCCCAAAATGTGAACGGTACAAGGCCAATGTAAATACCAAAGCATTAATCGCTGTCTGCATAGACAAGAGAGCATAGATGCATAATCCAACAACATATTTCTGCTGCCCTCTGACAACCTGTTAGTGCATGGTGGTCACCCATCCAAGCACTATCATCCAGGTTCATCTCTGCTTAGCTTCTGAGATCTGACGACATCTGGGCAATTTGTACATGACAATACAAATCTCAGGGTGAGCTCTGTGATATCCACTTCTGTAGGTAGTTCTCTAAACGCAAGGGGGTCGCAACTGCTCAGCGAAAGATATCAAAATTCATTCTTCGTCATGTCACACGACGACGATAGCACGATCAGGGAAGAAGCGCAAACATCATGAGCAAGTGACAATGTGCAGTCAGTACTCACTGAATAACTTCCACGTTTGTCGAGCGATCCAAATCAGAAGCAAAAAAAGAATGAACGTGGCCAAATGCGCCACTGGTTTTACTATCGCACCTGGATAAAGCAGATAAACAACAAACATCAACACAGGTACGCACGTTCTTTGCCTTGTATTAAAACACAACCTCTCCATGAGATTTGTTTTATCCGTTGTGAAAGCCCAAGTGATAAACCTAAGGTTGGAATTGTTAAATAAGTCAATTGTGTATATCACCTACTAATCGACAATGTGTTTCGAAGCCACATTTCATGTGTAACAATCAGCTCGAAGTACTGTAATTTGTATGTTTCTCCCTCCCAATGGATTCATCTTTGGCAATAAGGATTTTACAGAAACCTTCCACGTTATTGAGATCAACACTATGGCCCTCACCCTGACATGCGAGTTCTGCTAGGTGGCTAAATAAGCAATACCAGTTAGCTTAGCACTGGAATGTTTCCACGACGTATGTGCATACTTTGAATCTGATTAGTTGTTCCGTACGATGCACATAATGCCTGTTTGTGGAGGCCTGGTCAGGTGACGCGGCTACTCGGATTCTCATTTTGCGGCTCTGGATGTTTATCTCTGACGATGTTTTTGGCGTATTTACTAACGAAACGTTGTACCCGTCGCTGAATTTGGTTTTGTGATTTACTCTTGAACTTGAAACGACGACAATATTGATAACCATCGGGACGTTAAACGCGTCTTCACGGCGCCAATAGAATTTGTTTGGCTGTGTCTGATTGGTGGAGGATTCGCGATACAGATTTGGTCAGATCATTCCGTGGTCGAACACAAAGTCAATGATGAATCACGTCATTGGCCACAGACGCCCTCGTCAAGCAGGCTCGGTGTGAGGCGACGGTCTCGGTGTGAGCCTGCGGGTTCATCCGTCGTCTGTGGGCAGGGGCTGGCGACCCTTTAAAGGTAGAAGATCCATTTTGTGTCTTTGACCAAAATAGTTCGAGAGTCGCGTCACACGCAGGGCCACTTATACACAAACACATACACACAGCAGCTATACACCACATGACTTAAATAAACAAAATAGCTGAAGGAATAAACTGCGTCTATTTCGTGGGTTCCCCCTTTAGTTATTCTTTCACAAAACACGTTGGACTGGTGTAACCATTTCGCCACCAAGACGTTCCATAGTGACCCATTCCCTTTCATATTTAACAAATTGATTCTTATATAAATTGATTATTATCGTTGTGTTAAGTTACGTTTAAGATTCACGTTAAAAAAAAACGGCTGCCAGCAAGCGGGGAAGCCAAAGAGCCACCGCACGCGGCTCTGGAGCCGCAGGTTGCTGCCCATGGCTCTGGAGCTGCAGGTTGCTGCCCATGGCTCTGGAGCTGCAGGTTGCTGCCCCTGGCTCTGGAGCTGCCCCCTGGCTCTGGAGCTGCAGGTTGCTGCCCCTGGCTCTGGAGCTGCAGGTTGCTGCCCCTGGCTCTGGAGCTGCCCCCTGGCTCTGGAGCTGCCGGTTGCTGCCCCCTGGAGCTGCAGGCTGCTGCCCTTGGCTCTAGAGCTGCAGGTTGCTGCCCCCTGGCTCGATGGGACCCAGCGGTATCGATGCCGAGTGTGCAGGTGGTGCAGCTGCACTGGAGCCCGTGGGCGGGGTGATCTCAGAACCTGGCCTATGAAGATGAGGGGAAGGGTCACCAGGGGAAGGGTCCCCAGGGGAAGGGTCACCAGGGGGTCACCAGGACAAGGGTCACCAGGGGAAGGGTTACCAGGGGAAGGGTCCCCAGGGGAAGGGTCCCCAGGGGAAGGGTCACCAGGGCAAGGGTCACCAGGGGAAGGGTCACCAGGGGAAGGGTCACCAGGGCGAGGGTCACCAGGGCAAGGGTCACCAGGGGAAGGGTCACCAGGGGAAGGGTCACCAGGGGAAGGGTCACCATGCGTGTCCTTACCTGGCTCGGTCATCCAACAAGTTCTGGTCTCTGGATTCCACTGAAGGCCCTCTTTGCACCGGCACTGGGTATTCGATGCGATAGTGCATGGAGTTTTAATGGTTTCGTCTGTACGGAAAGCAGCATGCGTAAATCAGAAATGCAACTTTTAGTTTATGTTGTGATCAGATGAAGTTTGCTGGAAGCAATGACAACTCCTCCATGCGTTACACTGCTCAGATCTACTGCCACAATGAGATGGACGTGGACTCTGGTAACTGCTTATGCCACGTGATGCGTTGCCATTACATGGAGACAGAAACCCATGTCACATCCTGTAACCCCCACCTCCTATTAGCTACGGATGGTGAAGAAGAAGTTCAACATACATACATTATTTTTCTTGATATTTTATTATAAACTGTATTGCCCACCTACAATTCAGATAATACCATTGTCTTCAGTGGGCTTCAAGAATAATAGACAATTATCATCTTTAATATGAATATACCTACTTCGAATGGTGGCCCATGCAGTTTCAAGCTTCTTTAGTTTAACCAGAAGAAAACTGTTTTGGGCTATGATGACTTATTCGCATATACGTTGAACTTCTTTTGCACCGTATGTAGCCAACCGTGCTAATCAGAGGTGCGGGGGAAGGACAAAAAACTAAACACAAAATTCAGTTCTAATGAAATTAGTTTGCCAATCTAGATGATGATGATTTAAAAGTGTTCAGCTCCAGAGGCTTCCTAATATCGGAAGGAAGAGCGTTCCAGACGGCCGCAGAAGCGTGTCTGAAAGCGCGTGATGCGGTGACTGCCGTCTTTGTTTGATGGCCAGCCAAAAGCCGCTGCTGCGAGTATGACCGGAGTCTGCATGGTGGTATACGTGTGATGGTATAACTGCAGTCGTAATGCGTAATTCCTAAGGCATGGTGAAGATGGTGTTTTGAGGAGGCGCAGCATCAATGGCGATGTTTTAAATGCACCGAGCGTCGAGACGCTTCTGCATCTCAAGCCGCCGTGAATGGCGATTCCGTAGACCCCCTCAGATCTTCGGGGATGGCTGGATTTGAGAGCATTCAGTCAGCTGAATGTTCTCGGTGATGGTTACAGTCGGCCGCCCCACACTGCGGTGCGATAGCCATGCCAATGCTGCCTCTATCGTTCACGATGTCTTTACCTTTTCTGCATTTCTTACACGGGTTACAGGATGTGGCGTGGTTATCTGTCTCCATGTAGAGGCCCTCGGGACACAACAAACAGAAAGCATCCTTTCCATTCTCTGTGCAGTCCACTGCCTTGTAAGTTCCTGCAATAAAAAGAGGCATTAGTCATACTTATGAGATGCCAAATCATGCGAAAGCGCTGCAGTTATTGTGTGATTGGCTAAGCCGTGCTCATTTGTGGAGTTGGCTACAGTTCTCTCTCACTTGGCCCAGTGCTTACTTGTGTTGATCCAATGCCCCTGAAATTATGCACTCCCAGAAGCCGTGTGGCAGATGAGGTGTGTAAAAAATACCTTTATCTTGGCAGCGTCGGGTCAGTTATGGAAAGGAGGAATTTTGGCCGCTTATTTATTTTAGTTTGTTCTCCACAGTGACGCCGCTGAGTATTTTGTGCTGTCGAGTGAAGTTTGATGGTGTTAAACGTGGCTTGTTTTGTTCTGGTTTCGAAGCGAATACTGTACACACGACTGACGCCCCATCTGGCGAGATCTCAGAAGCTCAGCACAGTCGAGGGTGGATAGATAGTGCTTGGACGGGCAAGCACCGTGCACAACAGGTGCTATAGGCTGCGGGGCCACGTTGTGGCAGGGAGAGGGCAGTTTCGCGAACACCATAGTTGGACTGTACTTCTTCCCGCCTTCACCAAGCGACACTGACAGCTGAGTTCAAGTCAAATCTGCACCGCAACCCACACGGCGGTGAGGAGGCACAAGTAACTGAGGGTTTGCAGCGGCATTACTGCATCATTCCGCGTGCTGTGTCACTGCACCACTCAGCCGCACAGCTCAAGAAAGTAGTTCGTCGTCGGCCGCTCAGAAACGCCGTTACAACGAGAAGCGTTATAACGGCGTGTGTTCCGCGTTGTGCGAAAAGTGTTGTCGTGCGAACACCGCCACGCGTTAAGCGATGACTCGCCGTGTAGTAAAAGGATGCTGGGAGTGACAGAGTAGTTGCATGGAGTGCAAGATGGTGGTCAAAACATAAATGACATTACATTGGCCGGTGGCATTGTATTCATTGCAGAATCTGAGAGCGATTTGCGAAATACGCCGGTTAAACATAATGTTAGGAAGTTAAAGAAAGGATGAACAATCCACTGTAAACACACAGGGCGTTTGGTCATACCAGTGAAGAGGTTCAAGCCTCAATGTTAAACACAAGTCTGTGACGTCCACAACCAGCAGGTGGTGTGGGAGCCAATGAACTCTTTAGGAGGCGTGGTAACAGTAGCTGCAAGGCACGTCACAGCGATAAAGAGAACAATAGAAAATGGCATCTACATTGCAAAGTATATTATTATTCACGAGGAGAATTAGAATACTTCAGTGCTAGATAGGAAGTCTGATCTCCTGTGTGGATGTGAAAGCTGTGAGTCTATGGGTGTCCGTGTGAGTCTATGGGTCGCTCTGTGAGTCTGTGTCTCTATATTAGTTTGTGGGTCTCTATGTGAGTCTGTGGGTATCTCTGTGAGTCTGTGGGTATCTCTGTGAGTCTGTAGGTCTCTGTGAGTCTGTGTCTCTATATTAGTTTGTGGGTCTCTATGCAGGTCTGTAGGTCTCTGAGTCTGTGGGTATCTATGCAGGTCTGTGGGTCTCTCTGTGAGTCTGTAGGTCTCTGTGAGTGTGTGGGTATCTATGCGAGTCTGTGGGTCTCTACCTGAGTCTGTAGGAATATCTGTGAGTCTGTGGGTATCTCTGTGAGTCTGTAGGTCTCTGTGAGTCTGTGGATATCTATGCAGGTCTGTGGGTCTCTATGTGATTCTGTAGGTCTCTGTGAGTCTGTGGGTATCTCTGTGAGTCTGTGGGTCTCTATGTGAGTCTGTAGGTCTCTGTGAGTGTGTGGGTTTCTATGTGAGTCTGTAGGTCTCTCTGTGAGTCTGTGGGTATCTCTGTGAGTCTGTGGGTCTCTATGTGAGTCTGTAGGTCTCTGTGTGAGTCTGTAGGTCTCTATGTGAGTCTGTAAGTCTCTCTGTGAGTCTGTGGGTATCTCTGTGAGTCTGTGGGTATCTCTGTGAGTCTGTGTGTCTCAGAGCTGAATGGCAGGAAGGCTGTGGTCACCAACGTCTTTGAGAGAGAACATAACTCACGTACAGAGAGAGAAGCCGGTCGACCGGTTTTTTGCTGCTGTTGTTGTTTAACAACTGTAACACGTATTCTTGGTTCTTTCGGTAAAGTCACGTAGAAGGGAAACAATAAAAATATAAAACAATAAAATTCTCACGACGTTTCGACTGCAACACAAGCAATCATCATCAGGTGTGAAAACCATGATGATTGCTTGTGTTGCAGTCGAAACGTCGTTAGAATTGTATTGTTTTATATTTTTATTATTTTATTGTTTCCCTTCTACGTGACTTCACCGAAAGAACCAAGAATATGAATCCCTGCAGTCACGAAAGCTTTAAAAATTTAACTCTAACACGACTTATCAATGTTGTGGCTTGGCTCTACCGGTGGTGCTGTACTCGTAACGAATTGGCATGCTCTGTTTACGTGACAAACCTTGCTAGTTGGCTGTGTCGGAAGGTGGCATTTATATTCATGCGATCTAACCCAAACCAACCTTGATTATGAACCCTAACATGGTACAATGTATGGTTGATTTACCTGCACGGCATAGCCTGCAACAGATGTTGTCAGTCGTTTTGTAGAATTCTGCACTGCAGTCTTGACAGGACACCAGCCTGGTGATGAATACAATCTAGAAAGAAAAACAGAAACGTCGCCAAAGGTCACGGCTCAATGTGCACAGGGTACGGGCATTTCAAACATCCGTTCTGAATGAGCGGCGCGTGTGGGACGGATGCTCAGCGTGACGACGCCGTGACGCTGAGCAGTGGCACCCAAGCACTGTGACACATTGGTGTCAACACAGCGGCATCGCCGTGGGGCAACAGCGGCGAGGCCCGAGAAGAGTGGAGGGGACAATGACCTCACGGAGTCACTCTGCATCCTTGCAGCGCCCACAGAGCGAATGGTCGACATTCCCGAACAACGTTGCGAAGGCGCGGTCCCGCAACTGCCTCGCCCACACCACCGCTGGCGGAAGGGCCTCCAACAGAGGCCCTCTGTAGAGGAGATTTGGCCTACTCTTCCACGCTCTTCAGACGTCTTGAAGGAGTGGAGGCGACCACACCTTAACCCACCGCACGCGACCTGCCGATCGATGTCGGTGATGTTATTTATTCCGGCATCTGTGGAAAAGAGCTTCATAGCTCATCGGATTCTTCCGGGACACAAACACAAGAGGTGTGTGGGGGGGGGGTGAGAACCCCGCCCCTTGCTTCGACTGCCGTGCCGAGAGATGGAGCCGCACACCACGAGCAGCCCGGTACAGCAGGGCAGCAGGGGCAGCAGGGGCAGCAGGGGCAGCAGGGGCAGCAGGGGCGAGTCGCGGGCAGCAGAGGCAGCACGGTACAGCAGGGGCAGCAGGGGCAGCAGGGGCAGCAGGGGCAGCACGGTACAGCAGGGCAGCAGGGGCAGCACGGGCAGCAGGGGCAGCACGGGCAGCAGGGGCAGCACGGTACAGCAGGGGGCGTGTGAGTCGATGCCGGGCGGGCGGGCGGGGTGGGGGTTTTGTGGCGGCGGTTGCAGTCGCAAGGTCGAGGAGAGTTTAACGACGACAAATTTGAATTGTGGGTGGAGTAGTGGCGCAGTGGTTAGCGCACTGAACTTTGCGTGCACCCGGCGCGCTGGGTTCGATCACCGGCCATCAGTGGCGGTTTCGGGCTCCCTGCTGTATCGATCGGTCAACCTGCTCGGACCTGGGGTGACGATGATCGATCGAGCCAACTACCCCCCCACGCAGACACCACCCGGGGTGACTCAGAATTAGTTTTTGTCCTGGAGGAATCCGATGAGCTATGAAGCTCTTTATCACCGATGTCCAGAGGGCGGGTCAGAAAGTTACAACAACGATACAAAAACACGGCAGGAGCGCTCGGTATAGGGAAGTTGTGCACATCACTGAAACGAAATACTCACTAAACAAAGTGCGCGAGTAGAAATCGCAATTGTTTATTCATTCCTGTCGATGTTTCAAGACTAAATGCGAGTGGGAAAGGCAGCAAAACAACAGTCTCAGATCACACCAAGACAACAACAATCCCACCCACTCACCCACCCACTCACCTACTTACTCACCCACCTACTCACCCACCCACTCACCCACCCACTCACTCACCCACCCACCCACTCACCCACCTACTCACTCACCTACTCACTCACCTACTCACTCACCCACTCACTCACCCACTCACTCACCTACTCACCAAACCACTCACCCGCTCACCTACCCACTCACTCACCCACTCACTCACCCACTCACTCACTCACTCACCCACCCACTCACTCACCCACTCATCCACCCATTCATTCACCCATTCAGTCACCCACTCATCCACCTACTCACTCCCTCATCCACCCATTCATCCACCCACTCAGTCACCCACTCATCCACCTACTCACTCACCCACTCACCCCCTCATCCACCTACTCACTCACCCACTCACTCACCTACTCACCAAACCACTCACCCGCTCACCTACCCACTCACTCACCCACTCACTCACCCACCCACTCATCCACCCATTCAGTCACCCACTCATCCACCTACTCACCCACCCATTCACCCACCTACTCACCCACCCACTCACTCACCCACCTACTCACTCACCCACCTACTCACTCACCCACTCGCTCACCCACTCACCAAACCACTCACCCGCTCACCTACCCACTCACTCACCCACTCACCCACTCACTCACTCACTCACCCACCCACCCACTCACCCACTCATCCACCCATTCATTCACTTACTCAGTCACCCACTCACTCGCCCACTCACTCACCCCCTCATCCACCCACCCACTCATCCACCCATTCATCTACCCATTAATCCACCCACTCAGTCACCCACTCACCCCCTCATCCACCTACTCACTCACCCACTCACTCACCCCCTCATCCACCCACCCACCACCCACCCTGCAGGTCACCTCCTCAACTTCTCTTTCTGCTCCTTCCCTCGCACTCCTCCGCTCTGGCATCCTCCTCCCATCGCCATCGTCTCTCCCAAACTCTTACACAACCATCACCGTGCTCAGTTCAAGACGCCTGTTCGACGCGCATCGATCACAGCTGTAATTCTCGCGTGGTGTGCTGCTCAAAGTGATGTTTCTTCAATCGCGATGTCGTGACTATTGCAGCCTGAGCTGAGAAACTACTACACCACTCATACACGGGGGGAGTTCAGGAACGAGCTGCAGCTGTGAGACGCAACAACGGCAGCCAAGCGCAGGTGGCGGAACGTCGTCTCTGTGAAACATCGACGACGTGAGCACTGCACAGACCCCTGTCTCTCTCTCTCCGTGTCTGTGTGTGTGTCTGCGTGTGTGTCTGTGTGTGTGTCTGTGTGTCTGTGCGTGTGTCTGTGTGTGTCTGTGTGTGTGTGTCTGTGTGTGCGTGTGTGTGTGTCTGTATGTGTGTCTGTGTGTGTGTGTGTCTGTGCGTGTGTCTGTGTGTCTGTGTGTGTGTCTGTGTGTGTGTGTGTGTCTGTGTGTGTGTCTGTGTGTGCGTGTGTGTGTGTCTGTATGTGTGTCTGTGTGTGTGTGTCTGTGCGTGTGTCTGTGTGTCTGTGTGTGTGTCTGTGTGTGTGTGTGTGTCTGTGTGTGTGTCTGTGTGTGTGTCTGTGTGTCTGTGCGTGTGTCTGTGTGTCTGTGCGTGTGTGTGTCTGTGTGTCTGTGCGTGTGTCTGTGTGTCTGTGCGTGTGTCTGTGTGTCTGTGCGTGTGTCTGTGTGTGTCTGTATGTGTGTCTGTGCGTGTGTCTGTGTGTGTGTCTGTGTGTGTGTCTGTGCGTGTATCTGTGCGTGTGTGTGTGTCTGTGCGTGTGTGTGTCTGTGCGTGTGTGTGTGTCTGTGTGTGTCTGTGTGTGTGTGTGCGTGTGTGTGTGTCTGTGCGTGTGTCTGTGCGTGTGTGTGTGTCTGTGCGTGTGTGTGTCTGTGTGTGTCTGTGTGTGTCTGTGTGTGTGTGTGCGTGTGTGTGTGTCTGTGCGTGTGTCTGTGTGTGTCTGTGTGTGTGTCTGTGCGTGTGTCTCCCTCTTCAGCTCAGGAGGCCGGCACAGCAGCGGCAGCTGCCACAGTCTTAGCGCGGCTGGCTACGTACGGCGCGAACAAAGTCCGACACACATCGCGCATTTATAGAGCGCCGAGCGCAAGTCGACGAGGTTAAGACTCACCCCGAGGGCGAGCGAGACGACGGCTCTCCACCTCGCCCAGGCTCCTTCCTGCATCACGCGGGCCGCGAGTCGCCTGCCTCGGTGACTCCCACGGCCACATCGGTGTCCCTGCGACGATCGACCGCCAGCCCCCTTCGAGACGCGCGCCTCGTGCCTACACACACACAGAGATCACACAGAGATCTGTGTGTGTAGGATGGCTTGTGGAGTAGCAGCAGCAGCAGAGATCTGTGTGTGTAGGATGGCTTGTGACGTAGCAGCAGCAGAGATCTGTGTGTGTAGGATGGCTTGTGGAGTAGCAGCAGCAGAGATCTGTGTGTGTAGGATGGCTTGTGACGTAGCAGCAGCAGAGATCTGTGTGTGTAGGATGGCTTGTGGAGTAGCAGCAGCAGCAGAGATCTGTGTGTGTAGGATGGCTTGTGGAGTAGCAGCAGCAGAGATCTGTGTGTAGGATGGCTTGTCAAGTAGCAGCAGCAGAGATCTGTGTGTGTAGGATGGCTTGTGACGTAGCAGCAGAGATCTGTGTGTAGGATGGCTTGTGGAGTATCAGCAGAGATCTGTGTGTGTAGGATGGCTTGTGGAGTAGCAGCAGCAGAGATCTGTGTGTGTGAAGGATGGCTTGTGACGTAGCAGCAGAGATCTGTGTGTAGGATGGCTTGTGAAGTAGTAGCAGCAGAGATCTGTGTGTGTAGGATGGCTTGTGACGTAGCAGCAGCAGAGATCTGTGTGTGTGAAGGATGGCTTGTGACGTAGCAGCAGCAGAGATCTGAGTGTGTAGGATGGCTTGTGAAGTAGCTGCAGAGATCTGTGTGTGTAGGATGGCTTGTGGAGTAGCAGCAGCAGAGATCTGTGTGTGTGAAGGATGGCTTGTGACGTAGCAGCAGCAGAGATCTGTGTGTGTGTAGGATGGCTTGTGACGTAGCAGCAGCAGAGATCTGTGTGTGTGTAGGATGGCTTGTGACGTAGCAGCAGCAGAGATCTGTGTGTGTGAAGGATGGCTTGTCAAGTAGCAGCAGCAGAGATCTGTGTGTGTGTAGGATGGCTTGTGACGTAGCAGCAGCAGAGATCTGTGTGTGTGTAGGATGGCTTGTGAGGTATCAGCAGCAGAGATCTGTGTGTGTGTAGGATGACTTGTGAAGTATCAGCAGAGATCTGTGTGTGTGTAGGATGGCTTGTGACGTAGCAGCAGCAGAGATCTGTGTGTAGGATGGCTTGTGAAGTATCAGCAGCAGCAGAGATCTGTGTGTAGGATGGCTTGTGGAGTAGCAGCAGAGATCTGTGTGTGTAGGATGGCTTGTGAAGTATCAGCAGCAGAGATCTCTGAGTGTGTAGGATGGCATGTGGAGTAGCAGCAGCAGAGATCTGTGTGTGTAGGATGGCTTGTCAAGTAGCAGCAGCAGCAGAGATCTGTGTGTGTAGGATGGCTTGTGAAGTGGCAGCAGAGATCTGTGTGTAGGATGGCTTGTGGAGTAGCAGCAGAGATCTGTGTGTGTAGGATGGCTTGTGGAGTAGCAGCAGCAGAGATCTGTGTGTGTAGGATGGCTTGTGGAGTAGCAGCAGAGATCTGTGTGTGTAGGATGGCTTGTGGAGTAGCAGCAGCAGAGATCTGTGTGTGTAGGATGGCTTGTGGAGTAGCAGCAGCAGAGATCTGTGTGTAGGATGGCTTGTGGAGTAGCAGCAGAGATCTGTGTGTGTGTAGGATGGCTTGTGAAGTAGTAGCAGTAGAGATCTGTGTGTGTAGGATGGCTTGTGAAGTAACTTTAAAACCTGGCGGAGGAGTCGCTGCGTTCACTCAGCCTGCATGGTGCTGGGCGGAAGGGCAAATGAAACGAAAGAGGAACCAACGCGAATTCTCATTGGGTCTTTCCGTAAAGTGACGTAGATAGCTTCAACGAAAATAACAAAAAAACTACGACGTTTCGATCACAACACAATCGATCGTCATCAGGAGGAAAAAAGACGACAATATCGTGTTCGCAGTTTCCCACAAACGCATCATATTGTATTGCCATAGTCGTTGTGCTTTTCTGTGCTAACATCGCGACTAGAGAGCGCTTCCAGCGTGTTTATTTCGACATGGCAGCTCCACCCAGCGGTGTCCACCCAGCGGTGTCGCACATGCACACCGCCTCTGGGTGCACACAGCCTCTGGGTTGCGAGAGGCTTGCACCGACGTTCACCTGTGGCGTGAGGAGGTCAACTCGGCGACCTCCGCGTTGCGAGTTCGTGCCCGTGCGGGGCTGGCCGAGCTGCGTTGGCTTTCGGCTGCCGAACGAATCCATGAAAGGTCGCGCTCGTGACACGCAAAGTGCTTTTGTCGCACATGAACCACAATGCCAAGGGGCCCGTGCATACATGACGAAACACGGTTTTTCCTCGTCACACGGCGTCACAAAAAGTCAGATCCCCCCTCAAATATGACGTCACAAAGCTCTGCCCCCCCCCCCCGAAAAAACCCCCACATGTTTCCATTTTGAAAATAAAACACGCTTCAAATCGCTTTAAACTATTGTCATTGTAGTGCGTATTTAATGTGGCGCTGCACTCTGATGTTGTAGGAGAAAAAAATATTACAAAGTCTATTAAATTCAGTAGAACGTGTTGTCTATATTTATTTAAAGTTGCGCTTTTTGATGTGACGTCACATTTCTCAACCCCCCCCCCCTCGTGACACATCGTCACAAATGTCTGACCCCCCCCCCTCCAGGTGCGTGACGTCATTTATGGACGACCCCCAAGGAGCATAAACCATAATACATGTTCTTTGGGGGTGAGATCGCGTAAATAAATGTTGTGTCGTTAAACCCGCCACCACCCGACACAGCCAACTAGTAAGGGTTGTCACGTCAACAGAACGTGTCATTTCGTCACTAGTACAGCACTTGTGTATAGTGTAGTGTATAGTGTAGTATACTAGTACAGCACTAGTGTATAGTGTAGTGTACTAGTACAGCACTAGTGTATAGTGTAGTGTATTGTGTAGTATACTAGTACAGCACTAGTGTATAGTGTAGTATACTATTACAGCACTAGTGTATAGTGTAGTGTATAGTGTAGTATACTAGTACAGCACTAGTGTATAGTATAGTGTAGTGTATAGTGTAGTACACTAGTACAGTACTAGTGTATAATGTAGTGAATATTGTAGTATACTAGTACAGCACTAGTGTATATTGTAGTGTATAGTGTAGTGTATAGTGTAGTGTATAGTGTAGTATACTAGTACAGCACTAGTGTATAGTGTAGTATATAGTGTAGTATACTAGTACAGCACTAGTGTATAGTGTAGTGTATAGTGTAGTGTATAGTGTAGTATACTAGTACAGCACTAGTGTATAGTGTAGTGTATAGTGTAGTGTATAGTGTAGTATACTAGTACAGCACTAGTGTATAGTATAGTGTAGTGTATAGTGTAGTATACTAGTACAGCACTAGTGTGTAGTGTAGTGTATAGTGTAGTATACTAGTACAGCACTAGTGTATAGTGTAGTGTATAGTGTAGTGTATAGTGTAGTATACTAGTACAGCACTAGTGTGTAGTGTATAGTGTAGTATACTAGTACAGCACTAGTGTATAGTGTAGTGTATAGTGTAGTATACTAGTACAGCACTAGTGTATAGTATAGTGTAGTGTATAGTGTAGTATACTAGTACAGCACTAGTGTATAGTGTAGTGTATAGTGTAGTATACTAGTACAGCACTAGTGTATAGTGTAGTGTATAGTGCAGTATACTAGTACAGCACTAGTGTATAGTGTAGTGTATAGTGTAGTGTATAGTGTAGTAAACTAGTACAGCACTAACCGGTTGTGTTGGAGAGCCAAGCCACAACATTTACAATATGAGTACGACGTTTCGCCAGTAATTACAACTAGCTTCATCAGGCGGACAGCAGCCAGATTGGTGAAGTCCACTTGTTTCGTTCCTTAACAAATTCTCCTGCGGAGGGAGGAGCTGGTAGGAACGTTGAGTTGCTCGGTCAATGGCCAAGGTCAACGGCGGCACCACGTGGTGTGTTCCGCAAATATGCCCGACTGTGAGGGCGGGCACAAGCCGGCGTGAGTAGGTTAAACATTGAGTTTTATAAGGGCACCACGGGGTGACCAGCCCCTCCCCACCCAGCCCCTTCCCTCCCACCCCCCACCCAGCCCCTCCCTCCTCACCCAGCCCCTCCCCACCCTCCCCTCTCCACCCAGCCCCACCCCTCACATTTTTGGATGCACGACGGACGGACGGACACAATAATCCCCTGTGGGCTGGTGGTGTAACCAGGAGGTTCCTACCAGTAAATATAGGCGTAGATGTGGTGACCACACTTGTGAACCAACATCACTGTGCACTTTTACATCATCTAGATTGACAAACTCATTTCTTTAGAACTGATTTTTGTGTGAAGTTTATTGTCCTTCAACCGCACCTCCGATTTGCACGGTTGGCTACGTACGGTGCGAAAGAAGTTCAACGTCCATACAGTACATACAATGACACCCACGGTAGCTTGCCCGTGAGAATACCACAGACCGCTTGATGGTCAGAGCAGAATCTGTGGTTCGTCACGACTCACTGGAGTTGCGATGCAGCGCTTATCGCTCAGCGTTCAGAACCCGGCCACGCGAGTTCGATTCCCGACCACGGGGAGGATCGGTGGGCGAGTGGAATCTGAGCAGGTCACGGGCCCCACCCCTCCAGCAACCGGCACGGACCAACGTGGTGAAGTTTGGTCTAACACAGCGGTGGGGAAACTTTTTTCTGCCAAGGGCCATTTGGAAATTTATAGCATCATTTGCGGGCCATACAAAATTATCAACATAAAAATTAGCCTGTAATATTTGGTCAAACATTTAAATAACTCGCCCCTAATGCGATGGCTGGAAATGCTTCTCTTTGGCGAGGCGTGTAATGATGTTAGCTGGTATTGATGATGTAAGCTGGTATTAATGATGTTAGCTGGTATTGATGTTAACTGGTATTGATGATGTTGCTACTCGCAACTGCTTTTACAGGTTTGTTCCATGATTTGTTGAATTTCGAGTCCCGCCTGCGGTTGCCTTGGCAGGGCCACACCAAATGATTTCACGGGCCTCGTACGGCCCGCGGGCCGCACCTTCCCCACCCCTGAACACCTCCCATGACCCAAACGGTGTTGGAGGCCTCCAGCAGTGGACTGAAAAACGTCTGTGGTTAAAAAAAAGTGTTACAGTGACCGGCAGTGATTGTGTCGAGAAAAAAACAATTCAAACGAGGGGAACTTTGGAGTTGAAAACAACTGCCAATCGCACTCACAACAAAGTGCGACGAGGGTAGGGGTAGCCGTCACCTTGTGAAACCGGTACGACGGCTTTGTACCGAGCGACCCTATCGGCAGAGGCCGAGCTGCCAAATCCCCGGCAATGTGCCCGGTCTCGTTGGACGGGGGGGCGGGGGGAGGCAGCTGAGTCGTCGGGAGAAGTCGCGCACGGTTCACTGCCGTGCCCAGACAGCCAGGAGGAGTCACAGGGCCCCGGAGGTCACGTGGGCAGCAGAGAGGGCAGCTCGGCACAACCCAGTGTTGTACGGTACTCTCTGTGCTCTCGCACGTTTTCCCTGACCCACACTGACCAGCGTGGGGAAGTATGCACGGTCTGCAGGGCCCCGCAAGCCACGCAGTTCGGGGGAGGCCTTCGTCCAGTTGTGATGCACACAGTTCGTTACTTCGTGGGTATCGATACCTGCTGCCTCGCAGTGATGCACACAGTTCGTTACTTCGTGGGTATCGATACCTGCTGCCTCGCAGTGATGCACAGAGTTCATTACTTCGTGGGTATCGATACCTGCTGCCTCGCAGTGATGCACAGAGTTCGTAACTTCGTGGGTATCGATACCTGCTGCCTCGCGTGAAAGTGACTGCCTTGTTGTGGGAACAAAAAATAAAGGAATTCGTTTACCTTTGTAGATTTGAAGTTTTCGTGACTGCAAGGATCCATACTCTTTGGTTCCTTCGGTAAAGTCACGTAGGTGGAAAAATTAAACAAAAATTGGATTATTTCTATTTTTTTATTTTTTTCACCTACGTGACTTCACCGAAAGAACCAATTAGTATTTATCTTTGTAATTTACCAAAAGAGAAATCGATCGTTTATTTTCTTTTGACGTCAACAGATCCATCAGGAACGAGCGCGGATGTATCCGAAAGGACATTTTGAGAATAACCGGAACCCAGTGAATGCGTATGGGGGCAGAGAGGAGTTCAAGTTCAAGTTTGAACTCCTCTCTATAAAGTTTAACACGTAGGCTATCGCGACCAATATTATTCATAATAACGGTTTTTGGGTTAGATCGCGTTTATTTATAAATGTGTCGTAACCCTCCACCACCCGACACGGCCAATCAGCAAAAAAAAGTGTCACGTTGACAAAAGACAAATAATTCACTACTTTAGCCCACCGGTGTGTTGAAGAGCGAATCCACATTTACAGTTTGAGTACGACGTTTCGCTGGTAAATACATCCAGCATCATCGGGCAATTCGCCATAAAGGTCACTCGTGTGCACTGCAAGCAGCATCCAATGCAAAGAGCCGGGTGAATGTTTTGTCTATTTCCTTAAGAAGGATCTGATGTACAGTATCGCGACACAACACAGTAACATTACACAACTCTGAAGTGTGTACGTTGAACTTCTTTCGCACCGTACGGAGCCAACCGCGCTAATTGGATGTGCGGGGGAATGACAACTAAACACACAAAGCAGCTCTAAATAAACAATGGAAGGATCCACCCAGATAGAGAAACAATGGAACAATCCATCCAGCTCCCACGTGCCAGATCATTTCATCGCTCCATCTCCACAGGGGTCTCAGTGGGGCGAGTTGCTTTGGCTGCCACTCGGTCGCTCGTCTCGAGGGCACGATCCCCTCTCGGTCGTGTCCTGTCCAAGCCCCCAGTACGATGTCTAAGCTGATCACTCCAGCGCTGTCCTCCAGACAGTCTCGTCCCTTCACCTGATGAAGGCCGCTTGTGTTGTGGCCGAAACGTCGTGATATTTTGTTATTTTATTTTCACCTACGTGACTTTACCCAATAGAACCAAAGAGTATGATCACTGCTTCCTCATCCGTGCTGCTTTTCCTCTACTTCCAGCCTCTGATTTTCTTCGTCACTGTCCACGTTCATGATAGACGTCATAGCAGGTGATATGCACTGATTGACACTTTAATTAGGCACACTGGTATACTGATTTGAATGCACACTGATCCCAAACCAACTTCAACACCTGCCCTTGGTAATATATTTTCTGCTGTGTTTTCCATTTGTATTCCAATATCTGTCAGTGACACCGGGGTGATGGGAGATTATCTTTTGCGTGTGCCCGATAACAAGTCTTCTTGACGGTGCGTGAACAGCCTGGCAGCGAGCAGGAACAGTAAGTGAACACTGGCATTGTGGCAAGTTTATTAAAGTACAAAAATACAAAGAAGCACACCACAGCTGAATAATCACAGACATGCGTCGACGTAGATATTCAAAGCAAGTGAAAACCACACGGCTATAAATGAACTCATTGAGTAACCATTGTGGATGGATGGTGGCTCACACCACCACTGGACACCACTGAAGAGAGTGCAGCGCGCCACGGCGTGCCGGGCGGGCTGCCTCTGCTCGTTGTTGTCCTGCACGCGTTGGATGACGAGGCCGTCACGTGCCTCTGTGGCCACGTGGGCTGACGTCCGCTGACAAGAACGTCGACATACGTTAGTACTCAACGATTGTTTCCTTCTAGATTTGAAGCTTTCGTGACTGCAAGGATTCGTGACTGCAAGGATTCATACTCTTTGGGGTTTTTTCGGTAAAGTCACGTAGGTAAAAAATAAAATACAAATAAATGAAAACTAAGATTGTTTCCTTGTGTATCTGGTGCTCTAACCGTGTGGAAGTCACGTGTAACAGCATTCGCGAAATAAAGCATAGATTAGTAATCTATATATAAAAGGGAAATGTGAATGTGTCTGTTTAAAATGTTTAGCGTACTTCCAGACATGCAACAAACTGGAAATTTGGCATGTGGGTAGTTTCCAAACTGAGCGGTGACGTCACATCTGTCATGTCACCCGCATGCGGCAGCGTCACGCAGTGTGCCTGCTGACGTCACGCATCCCCCCCCCCCCACCCTCTGCGTAGGCCGTGTATCCCGCACAAAAGCCTGGCACAGCTGTCTCGACGTTCTAAGTCAACGCGACTATTTTCAGCTCGCACTTAAATATAAAGCAGAAAATCCATCTGTTTGTGTGAAGCAGAAAAAAACTCTCCAACGCTGAGCTCTGACGTCATGAAATTTGCAGCTTCTGCTGTCTGGAATTTCTAAGGGAACGCGACAATTTTCAGCTCGCCACACGTCATTCCCTTCCCAAGTTGCCTGCTTAAGATTCAATTTCCCCGAGTGAAAAACATCCGATTTAGTTACATTGATTTGTTTAGGATTTTTTCTTTCCTGCAAGCATCAATTTTCTTCAGGGTTTTCCAGTGAAATATGAGAGATTAAATTAATCCAAGACAATAATCCGTCTTTTCCCCTCGATGTTATCCCAATTGTGCTCACATTGTGTCAAGTGACGAACACAAATCATCTATTCTGATTTCTCACACGAGAGTGTGACGTGTTGTGTTCGTGAATGGCGCGAAAGAAGCGGATACCATAGAGCCACCTTCGAGAGGCCCTTCAAGTGGCCTTGGTCTACACAGTATGGGATATCGCTTTCTCATCTGCCCTGCCACATGAGAGTAATGTTCACTGCATGAACGTCAACTCTCTTTAAAACTTTAAGAGCTGGAATGTTCCCAAATTAAGTGCATTGTTAAATTGAGTGTAATGTTTTTTTTTTTTCCATGGGCAGTTGTTGGTGACTGAGCTGAGACCATCACATCTGTAAACCTGAGCAGTCAAATTCATCACAGGGGCACCGATCTTCTGAGCACCACGGCCACTTTTGCACCAATATTTTAAGAGTACAGTCTGCTCTCCTATAACGCGGTAGTGGTTGTGTTCCTGATGAACACCGCGTAATGGGAAAATCGCGTTTAATAAAGAATATAGGGTAAAGCGGTCGGCGATAACACGTGAGATGCATATGCAGGCTGAACAAAGACAACGAGGTGTGGGTAGCGTCTAGAAGCATCCAGCAGCATCCCACTGCATCATGTGGCGATGACGCTACGCCGAGGCAGCCGTACGACCGCTTATTCCTACTCGCGCTACGTGTTTCTGTTCACGCAAATTGCGTTCTATACAATTTGCATCATGAAAACGCAGCGTTGCAGGAAAACAAACTGTACCACAAAGTTATAAAGAGGAAATATGCACCGTTAAACTTAACTTAAAACACATAATAGATAAACATACGATATATTTAGGAAAAATTCTACTACAGTAACTTTTTAAAACAATGTACATGGAACATATCACCCATTAACTAACATGAAGAATTTAAAACACAATGGCCCCAGGCTTTAGTGATGAAACAGATGGTATCAAGCACACCAGATACCATTGCTTCATTTAACGCAAGTTGGGAGTTCAGAAACATAACCCAGGACTCTCACGCTCAGCATGGTGCTACTCACAGATCATCATCGTGGTAGATGATGTGGACATGAAGCCTGTCCAGGCCTGGCCAGAGGCAATGGCTCGTGACACCCGCAGGAAAGTTTGAAACCACGGCCCCATCGATGGCTTAGGGACTGCTAGGACTACTATACGAGTGCCGCTGCCTCAATAGAATATTCAGATAGATGAACTGTGACCCAATGTGGGAGAGAGACCCATCCATGGGACTTGAACCCAGAGCATTCAATATGCATTGCCTTCATGCACCTGCACCTCAAGGCACTGTACAGAAACAGCGAGCATGTTTATTTGATAGGCAGCTATCGGATGTGGAAACAAAGCAGAGTGTTGAGTCTGGACCTGAGCAGGGGCAGGCAGTGTCGTGTGCGTGGCTGGGGGAAGGCAGTTACAGACCATGGGGGCAGCAGATGATAAAGAGCGACCTCCCACTGAACAAAGGTTGACTGGAGGCTTTGACAGAATGGAAGTCTCAGCTGCTAGGATCAAGAGTGCACATAAGGGAGTGGGGTCAGATGAGATGGGAGAGATGGGAGAGGTAGGAGAGGTGGGAGAGTGAGTGTAGAGAGAGGTGGGAGAGTGAGTGGAGTGGAGTAGAGAGAGAGGTGGGAGAGTGCGTGGAGTGGAGTGGAGAGAGGTGGGAGAGTGAGTGGAGTAGAGTAGAGAGAGGTGGGAGAGCGCGCGGGGTGGAGTAGAGAGAGAGGTGGGAGAGTGAGTGGAGTAGAGAGAGGTGGGAGAGTGAGTGGAGTGGAGTAGAGAGAGGTGGGAGAGTGGAGTAGAGAGAGAGGTGGGAGAGTGAGTGGGGTAGAGAGAGAGGTGGGAGAGTGAGTGGGGTGGACTGGAGAGAGGTGGGAGAGTGAGTGGAGTGGAGTAGAGAGAGGTGGGAGAGTGAGTGGAGTAGAGAGGTGGGAGAGTGATGGGAGTGGAGTGGAGAGAGGTGGGAGAGTGAGTGGAGTGGAGAGAGGTGGGAGAGTGAGTGGGGTGGAGTGGAGAGAGGTGGGAGAGTGAGTGGAGTGGAGTAGAGAGAGGTGGGAGAGTGAGTGGAGTAGAGAGAGAGGTGGGAGAGTGAGTGGAGTGGAGAGAGGTGGGAGAGTGAGCGGGGTGGAGTGGAGAGAGGTGGGAGAGTGAGTGGAGTGGAGTAGAGAGAGGTGGGAGAGTGAGTGGAGTAGAGAGAGAGGTGGGAGAGTGAGTGGAGTAGAGAGAGAGGTGGGAGAGTGAGTGGGGTGGAGTGGAGAGAGGTGGGAGAGTGAGTGGAGTGGAGTAGAGAGAGGTGGGAGAGTGAGTGGAGTAGAGAGAGAGGTGGGAGAGTGAGTGGAGTGGAGAGAGGTGGGAGAGTGAGTGGGGTGGAGTGGAGAGAGGTGGGAGAGTGAGTGGAGTGGAGTAGAGAGAGGTGGGAGAGTGAGTGGAGTGGAGTGGAGAGAGGTGGGAGAGTGCGTGGAGTGGAGAGAGGTGGGAGAGTGCGTGGAGTAGAGATAGAGGTGGGAGAGTGAGTGGGGTGGAGTGTAGAGAGGTGGGAGAGTGAGTGGAGTAGATAGAGAGGTTGGAGAGTGAGTGGGGTGGAGTGTAGAGAGGTGGGAGAGTGAGTGGAGTAGATAGAGAGGTGGGAGAGTGAGTGGGGTGGAGTAGAGGTGGGAGAGTGAGTGGAGTAGAGAGGTGGGAGAGTGAGTGGAGTAGAGAGAGAGGTGGGAGAGTGAGTGGAGTAGAGAGAGAGGTGGGAGAGTGAGTGGAGTAGAGAGAGAGGTGGGAGAGTGAGTGGAGTGGAGAGAGGTGGGAGAGTGAGCGGGGTGGAGTGGAGAGAGGTGGGAGAGTGAGTGGAGTGGAGTAGAGAGAGGTGGGAGAGTGAGTGGAGTAGAGAGAGAGGTGGGAGAGTGAGTGGAGTAGAGAGAGAGGTGGGAGAGTGAGTGGGGTGGAGTGGAGAGAGGTGGGAGAGTGAGTGGAGTAGAGAGGTGGGAGAGTGATGGGAGTGGAGTGGAGAGAGGTGGGAGAGTGAGTGGAGTGGAGATAGGTGGGAGAGTGAGTGGAGTGGAGTAGAGAGATGCCATGGGAAACGTTGGCATGGAGGATCTTGAAGACTGCAAGTTCGATATTTAAATCGATTCGGGATTCGATTTTGAGCTTATAATTCTCACAGCGGCATTTTAGATTTTACATGGGGCAGATTCAGCCAAGGCTGGATATTATTATACTGATCCGGCAGATTCTTCAAGGCAGACATCAGTCCCCGACAGAACTCCTCCCCATGATCAATGACAAAGTCAATGAGTTCAGAGGATGATTGGAAGCCCTCAGGGATTTGTTGCCTCAACGTGGAGTTCTGCCTCTTCATATGCTCCACAAGGGGTTGAGTCTCCACACCGATCCAGTGCTTGAGGTCAGGTTTCGCTCTGAGAACCATCTTCCAGACGATTCCCTTGAACGTTGGAAACAGCCGCTTGACGTCTGTGGGATTTAGGTTGGCGAGGAGAGTGAATGCACAACGCAGATATTGTTAATCGTGGTACGGTTCCAGATGGAGTCAATCAAAGCTTAAGACAAAAGTTCCATATGGACCGCATTGGTTATATGGGCACGCTTCACCTGTTTGTACATCATCCCGAGCTGCGGTCATGTGATGCATTAAGTTCCTTTCACAAATGCGTAATTGAACACACATAATTACTTTCATGCATCTAGGACCAGCATTCGCTCTCGACACACAAGGGAATAATGTGTTTGTTGCACGACATTATGTTAAAGGGGTTATATTCTTGTGTCGCTATAAAAACTACAATTCAGAATTGAATGAGTTTGCCCACATAATGATCTGACCAATTATGTATGTACGTTGAACTTCTTTAACACCATACGTAGCCAACCATGCTAATCGGAGGTGCAGGGGAAAGACAAATATTGTTTCATGTGACCGCACGATGCCAACATAAACATTCTCCAGCAGTCGCCAAGGATTTGGCAGCCAGGGTCTCGCGGAAAGCGTCATGCAGTTGTCCAGGCACACAGAGAGGCTTTCGGAGGTTGACACCTCGGGTGGTAAAAGAGCGGTGTTTGTGATGCGTGGGCTCTGAATCAAGGAACTTTTTCCCCAACCATTGTCCATTTGTGGTTCATTCCTCCTCACTGTTTTCCCATAACCATGCTCGTTTCGGGAGTGTTGCAGCTGTTGCAAGCGGCTGTGCTTGTTGCACGAGTATGCTGCTTTGCAAGAGCTGTTGCAGCTGTGGGCATCGCTGTTGAATTTGTTGCGATAACGTGCATCGCGTTACAGGTGTGGTGAGTGCACACATTTATTTGTCTTGAGTTGTTCAAGTTATCAACGTGTGACTGTGCACGTTTGTGTTGGGTGGTGCGCGTGTGTTCGTGATAGCGCATGTTTCTGCATGTTGGTGACACGGTGTGTCTGTCTGCGTGTTTGTTGTCCGGTAAAACCCCCTACTTCCTCGTTGGTGCCGGACGGCAACGCTGTGGTGAGCAGTGCCATGGGGGGAGGCCCAATTTAGATTGGCCATTCCCCTCATGGCGTTTGTAGCCACTACAGCGGTAAAAGGGGGCTCTGGATAGGTGCGAGGGGCTGGCAACCCCTCCACCTTCAATTAATTACCACTAAACCACGAAATAAAACTTTAATTAAGCTTGTGCCGAAGGCGTCTATGACGTCTCCTGGCCAAACCCCACTTGGTGGAGCCAGGAGATTGAATCTTTACCCTCGGGGCTCCAGAAAAAAACACTGCGGGTGGCCATGTGGAATGTTCGAATGCTCACTGCGGAGGAGAGGCTGGTACTCCTCTGTCGGGAGCTGGACTGGTACTGCCTGGATCTCAGTGGTATTCAGGAGGTCCGGTGGACCGGCTCTGGCTCCTGCCACCATGAGGGGTGGACAGTCCTCTACTCGAAGGAGGAGACTGCCAAACAATCGGGAGTGGCTCTTCTTCTGAACAAAAGAATGAAGGGGGCGTGGGAGGTGTGGGAAGCTGAGCCCCAGGCTACTTTGGGCTCGCCTTCCCATCAACCAGAGACAAGGAGTGGTGGTCGTGGTTACTTATGCCTCCACCGAAGACGGACATCCGTGGAGGGATGCAGGCAAGGCCGATGAGTCAGATTCCTTCTATGATCACCTGCCACAGGTGCTGGCTAAAGTGGCCCCTTGGGATAGAGTCATCTTGTTGGGTGACTTCAATGCCCGAGTTGGTCATGATGCTGGCACCGGGTCTGGCGTGATTGGAAGGCATGGGCCAGATCAGCTCAATAATTAAGAACACGCTGTTCTGGCATCGGCGCATCCACACAACATCATGGATGCATTCCGGGTCCAAGCAAGAACATCTGCTGGACTACATAGTGACGGAACAGCGGATGCGAGCCCCTGTCCTTGACACCAGGACCTACCGTGGAGCTGATCTGCCCTCTGACCATCGACTTGTCATCTGTCAGATGCACCTGCCGATTCTTCCACTCCGGTGGTGGGTGTACACCCAGGACCCCATTCCAACCTAAGGTGGCCTGGTATCAGCTAGCTGATGAAAGTTGCAAGCGAGAATTTCATCATCGCTTGCAGCTGGGGTTGGCATCGTCCCCCACTCCTCCTGATGTCGAGGGTAAATGGGTGAGGTTTAGGACTGTGACTCATGCAGCTGCAATGGCTGCTTTGGGTACACGGTCCAGACGTCCCCAGAGACCCTGGCTGACAGAGGTGTTCAGGATGGTTGAGAAAAAACGACAGGCCCACTGTCATCGGCTACAGCATCCCACATCAGAGAATGAGGCTTACCGCAGCCTTCGCTCGGAGGTTCGGAGAGCCGTGAGGCGCTGCAAGGATGGGTGGTGGTCGCGGGTTGCTGAGGAGATCGAGTCTGCCTCAATGGCCCGCAATCACAAAGAAGGAAGACCACACAGACTGTAACAACTACAGGGGCATCTCACTCCTCAGTGTGCCGGGAAAGGTCCTGGCGAGGATTATTCAACATCGCCTTGCCAGGCATGCTGAGGAGAGGCTTGCGGAGCCCCAATGCGGTTTCAGGAAAGGGCGGTCCTGCACAGATGTCATATTTTCTGTCCGTCTGCTACAGCAGAGGTGTAGGGAATTCCAACAAGACTTACATCTCTGTTTTATTGACCTGGTCATGATACCATCAGTAGGCCTGGGCTCTGGGTTGCTCTTCATGCTTTCGGATTCCCTGACCCGCTTCTCACGATCATTAAGGACCTTCATGATGGTGAGCGGGCCCGGGTAAAACTATGTGGCCGGGAGTTGGAGCCATTCCCTGTTCACCTTGGGATGCGACAGGGATGTCCTCTGGCTCCCACATTATTTAACATCTATTTCAACCACGTAGTTTGTGAAGCCTTTGATGGCTGTACCGGAGGAATTTCCATCTGGTACAGAAACAATCGGAGGCTGATCGATGCCTGGGTGCGGGCAAGAGATGGCTCCCTATTGGTCAACCATGTTATGTATGCCGATGATCTGGTAATTGCTGCTCACTCAGAGGAGTTGGAGGCGCTGCTGCTGAACCTGGCGCTTGGCACGAAGAGGTGGGGCCTTACCATCAGCCCCATCAAAACTAAGCACCAGACTGGGAATATTGTACCATCGGACATTCCACCCACACAACTCCCAAATGGTGATGGGGCAGTTGTGGAGAGAGTGGCGAGTTTCCCATACCAGGGCAGTGTGCTCATGACCGGCTCCGGTTTAACAGCAGAGGTCTCACTCCGAATCAGTCGAGCAGCATTATCTTTTCATCGGTTGCGTAACGCTGTGTGGAAGCTACCTGGTCTGTCATTCAGCACGAAGCTTCAGGTCTTCTCGGTCACAGTCATTCCCTCCCTTCTCTACGCTTGCAAAACGTGGACCCCCTCTAATGGAACATCTTCGCCGGTTAGAAACATTTAGGCTGGCCTGCCTACGATCCATCCTGGGTTTAACCAGGCTGGATTGTGTGAGCTCACAAATCCATGAAAGATCTAGACAAATTCCCATCGGTGAGCTCCTCCGGCAGGCAAGGCTGTGTTGGCTGGGTCATGTAGCCTGCATGCCCGGCAACCGCATGCCTAAACAGCTTTTATTCGGCCGGATAGAGGGGGCTAAACGGGCGCAGCATGGGCTAGAGAAGAGATGGAGTGATGTGGTACAGGAGGATGTGGGGCCGAGTGGACTTGCCCATGACTGGTACCAGCGGTGTTCAGATTGGCCTCTGTGGAAGAGGCTCGTGAAGGATGCTACTGGGCAGTTGGAGGCAGTTGCCCTCCAACAATAACGGAGGGCGGAGGAGTGACGCTCACAACAACGAGCGGTGCGCGGGGTGGCTAAAACACAGCAAGTTGGCACAATAGAGGGCACAGGTGGTGCATCAGCCAGTCATCTCAGTCAGTCGACCCGTGGCACCTGGGTCTGCCCCGTGACCTCCTGCCAGCGGCCGTTCAACGTGCACATGGCCTGGCACAAGTGTCACCGCCACTTATTGGCGAATAGCGGTTGTTGTTGTTGTCTGGTTTATTAGTGACACAGTGTGTCTGTCTGTGTGTGTTGTCTGCTTTATTCATAACATGTTGTGTCTGTCTGTGTCTGTCTGTGTGTGTTTGTTGTCTGGTTTATCAGACCACGTGGTACTCGGGACCCTGTACTCTTAGTTTTGGATATAAATTTTTAAAATAAATTACATTTTAACGAATCATATGTAAATACATTTTAAATACATTGCAATCTGCCCTTTAGATCCTCATGTGGAATGACCACACAACGCTGCATCTTTCTGTCCACACCTTAGTTCTCACGTTAAGAGTGCTTCAGCTGCAATTTTTTGGTTTACTTTTGGGAAGCTGTTCTGGCACACCCAAAACTCCGGTGTAACTGAGTCTGGCTTCCATAGATTTTATTATTTGAAGACAGAAGGATGCAATGTTCTGCACAGAATGAGAGAGACCCAAAATGCAAGCACACATCACAGTAAAGAATGTATAATTATTATCAGTCAAATGTAAAACTAAATATTTACCTGGGCCCATCAGCCATGTCTGCATTTGAGGGTAGCTATCCTGCATATCAAGGAGTGCTTCCAGCAGCTTCTGGCATTGGCTGCTACCAGCATCAATACATTGCCACAGCAAGTACTTTGCACAGTCTTGTCCAAGCTTGTTCTTGGCTTCATTGTAGACATCCCGTGGGATTAGAGAATGCGCATCCATGTGCTCCAGGATCGGTAA